AGCAGACACTGAACACACTTGGCTTGAGGTTAGTTCATTTAAACAGTCCAGAAATCAGCCGGTGAATTATAATGCAAGGTGCCATGTGCTACATATTTCCTTTCTCCATTGCTCTGGGTTTGCGGTGCTATGGTGGCAAGATTATGTTAGCTCCCTCTCCTGGTATGCAGGAGGTCGTGGGTTCGATCTTGACTCTGACGCCTGTTTATTTGGAGTATGCATGTCCTCCCCGTGGTCGCGTGGATTTTTATCCGGGTCCTCGGGTTTTTCCCTCCACATTAAGAAACAATACGTTTAGAAGGCTACTCTAAATTTCCACACGATAAGCCACTTTGAGCTATTATTTGTGGCCAGGTCGATTCTGAAAAAGAGCTAATAGCTCTGGGCTTTACCTAGTAAGTAAAATATGTTTAGTTTATTTTTCATAAAGGCAATGATCAATGAAGGATATGCATCACACTTTACTAATATTGTATGTGGCTCGGTGGATTAAAAGCTGTTAAAGTTGACTTATTGAGCTAAATGAGTTAGTATTTGAAGTAATATTTAATGAAGAAAAAAATCTAAATATTCATTCAGAAAATGTCTTAAGAGTCCATTGTACAAAAGCATTGCTTCAACATCTCTTGATAAGCTTCCCCACTTGTGTATGTGCTTGTGAAGCCTATCCGACACTTGTTTTTCCATGTAAACCTGCTAATAGATGTTGCCAGCACTCCATGTCACCGAGCTCTTAATATTGCAAAGTTCTCGAAGTAGCTTAAATATTTACTTCGATGTGAAAACAAGATGAAGTTTGATTGCTACTTCAAAAAAACATTTCCGTAAATCAAACTGAAACATAAAAAATCAACGTCGCTGTGTATAGGAATCCCTTAACAAATTAGAGTTGAGTACATCAAACAATGCAAATTACGAGTAGATGCACTATCAATGCACTACCGTAACAGACGTGTGTTGGCCTACGCACTAACAAAGATATAGACACGAGAAATGTATTTTATAATCTTTACTACACCGTCACCACCCCTCACAGTCATTGCCATAAACCATCTCACTCTTGCACCACACGAGCCAATCTCATCACTCCATCTCCACGCTGGTGGTTGTCCGCTTGGGCATGTTCTGTATTTTGGCTGTCATTCTGTCACTACTCTTCATAAGGTCGCACTCATTTCACATAAAGTGCTTGCCACAAGTGAACCACAATACCTTGCTGATCTCGTCAAGGAGCATAAATCATCGTGCAAACTTTGGTCGTCCTCGCAGCGGCTCTTTGCTAGCCCATCGGACAAAGACGGTCACCGCATCGTGCGCTCTCAGATGCGCTTCTGTGGCCGTCTGGAATGCTCTTCTTTCCGATATTAGGAAGCTGCTAGAGCTATGCACTTTAAAGCATTTAGACTGAAAACTAATTTCTTCAGAACAACTTTTGGTGTTTAGTTTGTCCTTTCCCCCTTGCACCTCCGGTTAGCACGGTTGGCTACGTACATAGGTCTTGTCCAGTCGCCCATCGTCCCTTCTAGCGATGTTTCCTCTCCAATTCCCCGCATGCGTTGCGGTGACGCGGCGGCCCCAGTGGCAATGGTGCAGAGCCTCGCCGTTCGAATCCAGCGGCCGCCTCCGATTTTAATGAAGCGGTCTGCGTCTTTCCCATGGTGATGCCATGCGCGCCATCCGCTTCCCAGTGGCGGCGTGAAAGCTCCCATGAAGTCATGCGCAAGAGGTAGGCGGCCCAATGCATTGACGGCATCACGGTCCACATTGCCAAAAATAAATCGATTGCCCCGGAAATTGCTCGCGGAGGATATACATTCCAGGCATCGCCATCACCCTGTGCCTCTTGCGAAAAACTTGGCAAGGCCGTCCTGAAAATAAGTCGTAAGGCTTTGTTTGTGGTTTTCCTGGGTAAACAAGTTTAATAAAAATATCGCAGATTTTGCAAATAAAGTGTGCCAAGGCATGAGCAACGAACGCACACTATGTGAGCCAAAAGCACATGGCGATATAAATGCAAATATGACGTATTATTCTTATGGCAGCAAGCAATGCAGATCTGCCTTTCGCCCAGCTGGTATCTGTTCCCTGGAAATTGTGCTGTGTGGTGGTGTAACTTTGACAGTATCTCAGGTTGGGATTATTGAAGGGTGGATTGGGATGTGCATTCAGAATGTTACATCGCTTGCTTCAAGATTGGTGGTTTTACTAATTGTTTTTAAACATCTTTTTTTATATTATCTGAACGAAATAATTAACGATTTGTACTGTAAAAGTGTGATGACATGAGTCTGACAATGCGTGAAGTAAAGGACGATGAAAGTGTGACAATCAGTGGTGAATGATGGATGGGGTTGAGAATTTGGGAAGAGGGATTGAGTTAGTGATGGGGACGGGAGGGGGAAGGGGGAAGTTTGGTTAAGCACAGAAAAATAAGTGCGTTTTAAGGCAAGAACGAAAAATAGACACGTGTAGAGGACTGCAGAGCTTGGGAAATTGTCGACACCGGATCACTGCCTTGCGTCAGCGATTGTGGGATACAATTTTCATGAACAACGAGATATAAAACAGATTTTTTTTTTCCCGTGCGGTAATAAAAAAAAAATTGAGGTCATAATAATTATGTACGCCAATCCTTTGAAGTAACGTTCCGCAAAGTAGCCGACTGTAATGACTCCCAATTGTGGTTGCCCACGCAATTATCTGAGGCTTATTATTCCGGAAAGCGGTCAAAGTCGGGCATGATTGCCTTGCCTCTTGGCTACAAGTACATCGGATTTTTTTTACTCAATTTGAATATTGTTTTGTTTAAATACCGAAAGAATATTTCACACCGTTATATTAGCAGTTGTGTTATATAACCAAACTCTGTTGGACATCTTCTATTGATTATCATTATTCATACTCATTCTCATCCCTTTTGTCAATCCACTGCTGGATGATGGCCTCCCCAAGATGTATTGGCCATGAAGGTTGTTTGACCATATTTGTTTGACCAAAAGTAGTCATTCATGCAAATCATGTACATTTTACATACACACTTGAATACATCAATTTTCAATGTTTTTGTAAATGTTTTATACCGGACACCTTTTCTCCGTCCATTATTGATCCAGCTTCAAATGTTTTGTAACTAGGGAGGCAAGTAAATAAACGGCTGTAGCTACTACTTCAGCCACCAATAATGAACATTACTTTCTCAAGCAACAGCATAAACAACAACAGCAGCATCAGCCGTCATTCGCCAGTAAGTGGCGGTGACGTCACCGCAGGGTTATGCACGCTTAGAGGCCGTGTGAAGTGTAGAAGGCTCGTGGGCAGGTCATGGGACAGAGACCCCCAGGTGTTACTTGTTCACCAGGGGCGTGTGGTCAGGGAAGGCAGGGGAGGCAGAGCCTCACCTGTCACACTCCAATGAAAATAGCTGTTACGAAAAGTAAAAAAGAAAGAAAAATTAAATAAAATTAATATTAAGATTTTTCCACTGATCTGTGTTATAAATGTCATTTCTGTACGATTCCAATCATTTTTATAGTCAAAATCGCCAAATTTGCGGAGCTCCGCTGCAAATACAGGAAGAGACGAGAGGTGAGGCAGCGACGAGCTCAGCCTCCCCTCTGATTGCACAACCTCTCAGTAACTGGATGGAGCGCGGGCAATAAGCGCGTGCCTGTTACTATCTCAGTATGTCACCAATGTAATGTTTGTAGACCCCTTCATTTCATGTCCTCGCCTTCCATACTCACGTATGTGTATAAAGATATTTAGGCTCGCTGGTCTCGTCATGAAACTGCAACGAAAAAGCACCAGGGGAGGCAGCTATCACATCTGCCTCACTGAGGGGGGCCACGCTCTCTCCGTGAGGACACACCCCCCTCCGTGAGGACACGCCCCCTCAGTGAGGCCAGGCCCCTCAGTGTGTGAATCTGGCTCTGACACGAGCCAGTGCCTCCCCAGCCATTGACCTCGCCGCACGTCACTGTTGTTCACTGACTGTGATGGCTGTGCCCCCCACTGCCAAACTTGCTCTGTCGGTACAAAGAAAAAAGGATAATCTGCATAGCCTTAACAGACTGTTGGGGCAAGTGCTGTTAGCGAGCAGCACCTATAAAGGTGGACACGGCACACGAGGGGGTGGGTGGCCAGCGCCACGTCCAGCCGCCGTTGTCTCCCAAGTGGCGATGATTAAACACTGCACCAGGTATTCATTAGAGGCTGAGTCGACCAAGGGGTGGCCCAGAACCGGTTTAGATAATCATCACTGCTGTTAACCATGACCGGGAATCGAACCCAGGCCGGCAAATGCATGCGCACACACACAGCACAGGCGGTGCATCTTGCCCCCACTTAATGAGATTTTTTAAAAAAACTAAACTTACCTCAGCTCCTTGTTCATGCCATATAAAATAAGCACACCTGTTCACTGTTGTTGCTCATCAACAATCCAGTGAATATATGTTAAAACGGCCTGTTATGTAATGCTCTGGCTAGAATAGGCTTTGTGTGTAATGTGGATAAACGTGCATTCTGTTCTTGCCAAACATGTACGCTGTGGCCATCCGTGTGCGCACACCCACACACTATTATACACGTACAGCTCTTTAGTCAATCCACTGCTGGATGGAGTTTTGTTTTGACCACACTCCCGCCATGCCGGTCGGTGAAGGCGGGGGAGCATAGACTTTTGGAGCAGGGTACAATACAGCGACAGCTTTCTTTTTTTTCTGCAATGCCCTCTGCTGACAACGGAGCCCGGCAGCAGCCTTTAGCATCTATTCCAGGCCCAGCCCGCTTAGCTTCCAAGCTCTGACAAGATTAGGCGCATTCCACGCGATTTGGTTATGGGGCACGCGACATGATTTGTTCGCCCCTGAGCCAGAATGCTTATTATATCAGAAGCGGCCGCTGCTGCTGCTGATGGAAAACACTTACTACTTGAGACCGACTGTCGACGTGACCTCAAGCCTGTCTTTGTGTTCTCTCTCCCTCTCTCCTCCTTGCAGCGGCGTGGTGCAATCTCATTTGAAAGCTCGGACCAGAATGCCATTTACGTTCGCATGCTAGGTAAGTGCGCCTGCGATGTCTCCCCTTCCTCGCCGCCACCATTGCCAACGCGATCATCAACTCTGACCGCCAAAGCCCTCTCCACGCTTAATGCCTAATTTGATTTGGGTTTATGCCGCGTGCAGTGATATTTCTTTCATGCCAAAATTCTCGTAGTTAACCCCTCTCCACCAGCCAACACTATTGTCACATTTACAGAGATTAATTACACGTGCCAAAAGCATAGATCACATTCAAGGTGGCTTTGTAAGACTTTTCACGATTGAATGTGGCACCAGACGTACGACGGCACTTTATTCCCAACTGCATTGAACTTGCTCAGCCCTGTGCTTCTGGAAATCGTACGGGCTGCATCAGCTGACCGATTTAAATACCTGCCGTGACAACATCCGAATGAAAGATTTCGGGGCAGGGAGGAAGCACAGCACCACACTTGGTAACCCCTTCACAGCATCCACCTCCTAATTATACAACTTTGGGTTTAATCATTGCACTTCGAATTGTTGTATATACTGGTGTCGATTCCAAATCGTTTGTTCGATAAAAAATACTCTTGGGGAAATAAAATGCCTGCTGTGACATCACCAACTAAATGGGTAATTTACATTTTTATCAATTTGGGCCCTGGATACTTTGTAAAATGAATACCCTACACTCGATGTAAAATGAGAGTTTTATTTCTGTGTTTGGGCCCGTAGGTATATAGCAATTGACAGCCTCTGTAATTTGATATATTATCACATTTAAAATGTGTGTACGATTCAAGAATCCTTTCTTTTTTCATCTCATTTATTGCCTCGTTTGTATTGTTTGTTGTCTCTTCTCCCTCTCAAGTATAGCTTCCTTCTGCAGTAGCCTAAATGTAACGTTAGCAAGCTATTGATTCCTATACGCACAAATCACTGCATTGCATCGTGAGCGTAATAATCCATTTTGATGGCTAACGAAGTGAATCACTGTGTGCCTATTTACCGTACATGTTACACAGTGGAACTCAGGCTTCACTCGGGTCTGTTGTTGGTGAAAACTGCATTTATTTTAGTTCCGTTGCGACCAAATGGGTGCTACCTGGCGATGGCTAATGATCTCTGCTTGGCTGAGACCACATCGAGCGATTGAGTCGGGCTAAGGTCAGCCGCCCAGTTGGCCCATTGGTAGAGCGGGCAGCTTGCAAATCCGAAGGTTACGATTTCAAATTTCCGGTTGTGGGTTGACTCTACCCATCGTCCCTGTGGGGGTCGATTAACTGAGTCCCGCTTTGTGGTGACATCAACAGTGAATAGACTCACCCCCGCCATAGGTATGTGGAATTTCCAACGACTTGCTCAGGGGCTGTAAACAGGAGATGAGCACTGCCTCCAATGCTCATTGGGGCAGGAATTATTTTTTTTTAAAGTGGCTCTAGGCCAGGGATGAAGAGAAACAAAAACCATCCCGTGATTAGTCTTCCAGTTTTCTGCCAAGTGAGCACAAGACGGGTGGAGCTGGTGGCCAGGGTGACCCTCGTCAAGGCTGTTCACATCGCTAGCCAGAACGGGATTTCTAACAACGCTCGCGTGTGCACAAGTTTCTGGGGCGAAACGCTCTAACCGTCTCATTCGTCCACAGTGACGTATGTACGTACGTTGAACTTCTGTCCGTTCCGTACGTAGCCGACCGTGCCCATCGGAGGTGTGGGGGGGGAAGGACAACAAAATAAAAACACAAAAAGCAGTTTTAAAGAAATTAGTTATCAATCTATTTGATTTGAAAGTCGATAGCTCCAGTGGCTTCCTAATATTCGAAGGAAGAGCGTTCCAGGCAGCCGCAGAAGCATCCAAAAGCAAGTGATGCAGTGACCATCTTTGTTCGATGGCGAGCCCCGATCCATTGGCAGGACAGCCTGTAGGTGTCCACTGATCATTTCGTCATTTGTTTCCACTTTCCTCTGTCTTGTTCCCAATTTGTTCAAGAAGTGCCACATCTTTTTTTCACACCAATCTCTTATGCCGTCATCAAGCCATTCTCTGTGAGGTCTTCCTCTCTTTCTGGTTCCTTCCATTTTTCCCAACAACAACACACTTTTTATTTTCCTGTTTTTCATCCTGCGGTTGGCCGTCCATGCTTTCGTACCTCCGATTAGCACGGTTGGCTACGTACGGTGCGAAATAAGTTCTACACACATACACGATTGATATACAGTATTAATATGAGTATATCTGAACACGTACATATTCCACAGCCGAGATATTTGTGTACACAATGCTACTGAATAAAGTACGAGGTCATGCAGAAGCACTGCTCTCAAATATTTAATGGAAATTGGATGATACAATTGGATGAAAGCATTGCACTCAAACTATCACAGGTAAATTCCATCATCTTGTTTTTTGCCGTGACCCAGCCATGGAAATTCCACATTCCAGTGACCGGGATGAGTGCATTCATAGTACGAACACGTTAATTTCCCGCAGAGTGGTAGTCATTTCTTCAGCGATGGAGGAATAAAGGGTGCAGTGATGCACTAACCACCACTCTTAACTCACCACCGCTAAAACCCACCACCCCTCTAACTCACCACTGCTCTAACTTGCCGAATAAGTAATTTTTAGCATTCTATGAATCTTGCTTTTGACCAGCCCTGTATTCTCATCCTGGAATTCCACTGGCAAAACTTCAGACGTCTCGTTGTGACGTCAATAAAAATAAATGCACTCTCATCCACATCTGTCCATAACACTGAACCTTTTCCTTCGAGTGTATTTGAAGTCATGGGAATTTAAATAGCAAGTCGGTGTTCCAAGATCTTTATAAATTGGCGTACCCTATGGAAAATTACACAATTGTGTTTGTGTGAGCACATGCTGAAGATGCGTGTGTGTACTTGTATGAACGTATGTATACGTGTTACACTTGGTACACGTGTTTACCCAGGAAAGCCTCGCTGAGTCTCATGGCTCTGTTTAAGGAGGATCCTGCAAAGTATTTATCCAGTAGGGGAGTTTGACTGCTATGGGCGCCACGGTGGCGAGATGTTAACTACCTCGCCTAGTATGCAAGAGGTTGTGGGTGGCATCCCGACGATGCTTTTATATTTGGAGTTTGCATGTCTCTCCGTGGTCGCGTGGATTTTTCTCCGAGTCCTCTGGCTATTCCCTGTACATTTTAGAATCATTTAATCGATCAGATTAATTGGCTTCTATACATTTACACACCATAAGACACTTCGTTGAGCCATCATTTATGGCCAGGTCGCTTCTGAAAACAAGCTATATTGCTCAGTGGGACCTTAACTGGTAACGTACAAATTGTTTAGTTTGAGGCGAAATTCCACATTCCAACTGTGCATTATGCGGGTAATGTTTCAAATTTGGACTGTCACACCGGCACACAATATCCTACTCTTGACATCACGGTATCTGCAATGCTCGCCATGAAGTTGTCCGGTCAATGCTACCTCCTCCCCCCCCACAGTAACCAGGGCGGCCACCAGAGTCGAACCGCGACCCACTAGAACGAGCCTGTGAACGCGCCACCGCTGGCCCATATCACGTCCCCCCCCCCCGCCCCGTATAGCCCATCGTAAGGCTTGGCCTTGTGAAGCAAGGGCACCCTGGCCTGTGGGGCGTACGGACGTATTATTTATTAATTTATTTTGCCCCCCCCCCCCTGCCTTGCCGTGTGCGTGCGCGTATAAATACTCGGCCGCGTCGCGTGCCACTCGTTTTTTAGGAGTGCCCTTTAGTAATGGGTGACACGTAACTGAAAGCAGGTGGCTAATTTGACCATGTGACACCCGGTCCACGCTGTGGCCTGCTCGCGGAGAGCCCTGTGCAATTTCGCAAACGCGCGGGAGCGTCTCAATCGTCGTCAGGCAGGCAGGCAGGGAGCACCGGAGGCTTTATGCACGTCTTCTGCAGAGGTACGCGCCGCTCTCTGATGCACGCACTGTGGCCGTGCCGTCGTGTGCAGTGTTGTATTCAGTGCCGTTCGGACATTTTTTCAGACTTTCGTAGGCTGCAGCTTTCTTCTCCACTGACTCGCATGCTTGTAGTAAAAACTTAATGTCTATTTAAGTTTCTGTTTTGAAGGTAATTATCACATTCGTTATCATGCGCAAGCATTTTTTTTCATGCTCAAAAACACAATAACAATGTGTAATGAGGAGTTATTTTGCCGTAGTGCATATTTTTTGATGTTTAACATGCAATGGCCTTTGCTTTCCATGACCATAGGCACTGAGAATTGTGTGCTGTTTGAATAACCCTGAAGTGTAGACAGACTCATTGATCAATATTCTCATCAAGGGTCACGCGATTAACCCTTTGAAAGATTGAGTGGATTCAAATATGTCTTGCGGCGATATCTGGAATTACATGGCTAATCTCATTGTTATTTGACTATAAACTAAATTACAAACGAAACCATTTTTTTTCTACCAGGTAAGGCCCACTGAGCTATATAGTTATTTTTCAGAAGTTACCTGGCCACAATTGATAGGTCCACGAAGTGGCTTATCACGTGGACATTTATAGCAGCCAAATACTCTAAATGCATGTTGATTCTAAATATGGAGGGAAAAAACTAAGGACCCGGAAAAAAAAACCATGCGACCACGGGGGGAGAGAGATATGCAAACGACAAATATACAACAAGCGTCAGGGTTAGGATCGTATGTCGTGGTCAAAAGGTCATCGCAGCCAATCCCCTTTGCACCAACACCCTCTGCCACCACCACCGCCCCTTTTAATCTTTCTACCAAATCCCACAACTGTATTAAAACTACAAGCAGTTCTTGCAGTGAGACACGAGTGTTACCACTGCCCCCCACGCTACTGCCACGGTAGCAGTTGAGGCTTATTGGGAAAACTCAGTCAGCCTCCAATCTAGAAGTTCTTTACTCTCCTGGGCTGCCCATAAATTCTGGATTTCCATCAACATCGACAAGTGAGCTGCTATCTCCTCCTCCTTGAAATCCTTGCTCCTTTAAATCTTGACTCAAGACATTTTCTCCTCTGCCTGGACAGAATTTCGGCAAAATATCGGCCGTCATTCTCCCGAAACATGGTGAAGCGGTGTCCATTAACGTCACGAGAATTGTGCCGATGGTTCGAGGTCACCTCAGCCCATTATTAGCTCCGTGTTGTTTTTAATGAACCGTTCCCACAACTTCTTCTAATTTCCGTACACTCATTTCCATGAACTTTCATTTCAACATCAGCTGTGGCCAGACATGTGCACTTGTATTGTATTGTGTGTTCCCATCCATTCGCATTGCTCAAACACTTCAGCCGTGGCTGTAAGTGCCGTTTGTGTTTGCACATGGACCATGAGTGCAGTTCCATAATATTTACAGCTTCAGGGCAGGCTGGAACGGGTATGCAAGGTGTTTTAAAGTTGGTTAAGCATCGCTTCCTTGCTGTTATTATTTTGGCCAAAATTCTCAAAGGTGGCATTCCTTTTTAATGCCAAATGTTTTCCACTTTTGGATCTATTCTAGCTTCCCTTTGTCTCGTGGCTCACACATAGAGAATGAACGTATCATTTTTACACTAGTCGTAGCAGCAATACTACATACTTTCAGAGCAAGTCAATTTTACTTTTTTGTCTCGTGGCTCACACATAGAGAATGAACGTATCATTTTTACACTAGTCGTAGCAGCAATACTACATACTTTCAGAGCAAGTCAATTTTACTTTTTTGTCTCGTGGCTCACACATAGAGAATGAACGTATCATTTTTACACTAGTCGTAGCAGCAATACTACATACTTTCAGAGCAAGTCAATTTTACTTTTTTGTCTCGTGGCTCACACATAGAGAATGAACGTATCATTTTTACACTAGTCGTAGCAGCAATACTACATACTTTCAGAGCAAGTCAATTTTACTTTTTTGTCTCGTGGCTCACACATAGAGAATGGACGTATCATTTTTACACTAGTCGTAGCAGCAATACTACATACTTTCAGAGCAAGTCAATTTTACTTTTTTGTCTCGTGGCTCACACATAGAGAATGAACGTATCATTTTTACACTAGTCGTAGCAGCAATACTACATACTTTCAGAGCAAGTCAATTTTACTTTTTTGTCTCGTGGCTCACACATAGAGAATGAACGTATCATTTTTACACTAGTCGTAGCAGCAATACTACATACTTTCAGAGCAAGTCAATTTTACTTTTTTGTCTCGTGGCTCACACATAGAGAATGAACGTATCATTTTTACACTAGTCGTAGCAGCAATACTACATACTTTCAGAGCAAGTCAATTTTACTTTTTTGTCTCGTGGCTCACACATAGAGAATGAACGTATCATTTTTACACTAGTCGTAGCAGCAATACTACATACTTTCAGAGCAAGTCCATTTTACTTAGCTTGTTGGCATACATTTACAATTAAACTTTTTCTTACACAGATCCGGCTTAAGTGTTTTTGGTTAAATTGTTGCAAGGTTGCTGCACTTTACACACGCGCTGACGAGAGGGACTGTTGGGGCACGCTCTTATTGGGTGGACAACACTCGGCAGGAGTTGATGTAGCTAGAGCCACACATAACCACCTTTGTCTTGCCACGTGTTGTGACAACTATTTTATTTAGGGCATTAGTTCCCAGCCTTTTGTTCCCACCGGGGCACCGCGGTGGCAAGGTATTAACTACCTCGCCTGATATGCAGGAGGTCGTGGGTTCGATCCCGGCCCTTGACACCTGACACCTGCTGTATATTCGGAGTTTGCGTGTCTTGTCTCTCCGTGGTCGCGTGGATTTTTCTCCGGGTCCTCCAGTGTTTCCCTCCACATTTAGAAACATGCGTTTATATTATTTGGCTGCTATAAATTTCCACATTATAAGCCACTTCATTGAGCTATGGCTCAGTGGGCCTTACCTGGTAAAAAAAGATGTATATATATAATTTAGCGTTTGGTCCGCGGACGACTGGTTCTTGGCGAGGCCATGGGAAGTGTTCCTGGAACTGTTGCAGATGAGTTTCTTTTCACGAAATGCCAGATTTCTTTTCCTGCATGGTGGTCCGTGGAAATCTTGCAGGCCCATAGTGCTCCAGGGGCCCAGACAGGTTGGGAACCCCATTGGCCCTAAGGGGCTGCTTCACTCTGTTCATAAACCAATTAGCCACGGTGATACAGTACGTGGCCAGCATATGGGACCAGTGTGTCTGGCCGTCCGTATTGTCATAGTGCAGTACACCAAGCTACACAACTGTCGTCTGTCTCCTCTTACTTTGACTTGACGCCTGCCTCTCTGTACTTGCTGTACTTGGTGTACGACCTGTCCCTTGGTTGCTGCGTGGCATGACCCTCAACCTCTTGACCCCTCCCCAAACCTCTTTGTTGTGAGTGCCCGTAATGTTGTAGCCAGTGGGTAGCGAGGCATCCATCGCTAACATATCACTGCAGGGAAAGGTGCATTTTACGGGCATTAAAATGCATTTCAGTTGTTTGAAAATTAAGGTTACGTGCCCTTCTTTCTTCGAGACCATTGTGTACATATATTATAAGAGTGCCATGGTGGTGAAATGTTAACTACCTCACCTGGCATACAAGAGGTCGTGGGTTCGATCCCGGCCCTGACTCCTGTATGTTTGTAGTTCTCCATGTTCCCCCCGTGGTCACGTGGATTTTGCTGTGGTTGTCCCCTCCACATTTAGACTCGACAGGCGTTCAGAGTATTTGGCTGCTATAAATCTCTACACAATAAGCCACGATGTTGACCTATCATTTGTGAAAGTCAGGTTGCTTCTTAAAAAGCACTATATAGCAGCTCAGTGGTGCACCTTACCTGGTAAAACGAAAAAATTGTTAAATAGAAATAGTCAAGGAGGTAAACGGTGCAGAGATGGAGGAGACGGTGGGGGGGACATTGGCCACTGGAGTGAGGATCAAGGGAGGTGAGCGTCCGCTCGCGGTCGCTCGCCCGCAAGGGGGCACGTGAAAATCATCCACAACGTTTTCTATGGCCAATTAACGTAAAAGCGCAATTGTCCAATTACTGTGCAGTGTGAACAATATACGCGAATTACTCAGCGGGCTGTGACAGCCTGTTTGTTAATCGTCATTACAGTTTTCGCAAGGGAGGCCAAGATAACCATAATTGCACAGAGTTGTTTTTTTAAAGTCATTTAGTTTTGTGTAATTTTCTCATTTTGCTATCTCAGCGATGGCATAGGCACAGAACGATCACTTTTTTTACTCCCTTTCTAAATCGTGTAACTTTCAATTGAAACGGCTCACTTTGGTAGTGCCCCCCCCCCCCCAACGCGGCTCTAAGGTGGCTTGGGAGCCTCACTTTCTAACTCTTACTCGCTCTGTGTTGAGCCACGTTGTGACCACTCGGCAATCCAGCATACCCAGGGGTAAATTGCACGCGAAAACCCCTATGGCAGGGCCTCTCATTCATTCTGAAAAGGCTTTCCCGCACCAATCCCGGCAATTTACAACCAAAAATGGTAATTTGGTTTTGCCAACGCAATAGAGTATATCGGTCAATACCTTGTGTGATACTGTCGAGGTGAAAACATGAAGACGCTCTTTAAATCTAAGTTCCATTGCAAACTAAGCGATACGACTTAAGCTTGTTAATGCCAAGAGCTTCAGCAATTCTTAACATTTGCTTATTTGCCGTTACAGTACTTATTTACGATAATTATTATTCCGCCTACTACTGCAGGAGGCTCTGTGAGTGGCCGATTTTGTTTGGTGTGTTGCAGGCGATGTGCGAGTAAGAAGCCAGGCAGGATTCTCAGCCCAGACCCAGCGCAGGGGCTCCTACCCTCAACTCGACTTTAGACTTTTGCACTGTAAGTCAGTCCCCGGGCTCATGGCGATCCCACGCCTCACGCACCCTCGCACCACCTCAGACGCACGCCTCCTCGCTCAAGTGGATGGACGATGCACGTTGTGTCGGGGTTAGGGTGACCGAGCTCGCACAAAATCTTACCGGGTAATTTGTGTTGTTAGTTCTCAATTTAACACGCAGGCTTTCACGACCAATATTGTCCATAGTAGAGGTTTTTGGGTTAGATCGCATAAATATAAAGGTGCCGTTAAACCCGCCATCACCCGACACAGCCAATTAGTAAGGGTTGTCACGGCAACAAAACGTGCCAATTCGCTACTAGTTCAGCACGCCGGTCGTGTGCTGGAGAGTAAACCCACTACAACGTTTACAATTCGAGTACCGTGACGTTTCACCAGTAATTACAACAACCAGCATCATCAGACGGACAGCCAGAGTTGCGGAGAAATCCTCCTGTTTCGGTCTTAAATATAGGGATGAATGTGATGTCGTCACTTGAGCCAATCGTGTTAGTTCTCAAAGCTGGCGAAGTGAACGACCAAGGCACCCACGAATGTCCCAGCGCGTCGTCACGGTTGACATCGCCGGATTTGAAATTCTCCCGAAGCCGCCAACTGGTCACATTAAATGATCAGAATCGTATAGAACACACGTCTCGCTGACGAAAGATACACCTATTGAGCTGCTCAATGTAATGCTTAAAAAGGCAAGCGTACAAATAATACGTCATTTTTGGAGGCAAACCAGAGTTCCTGACAACTTACTTACAAAAAGCACCAGTTGATCTACTCTCATATTTGTGTAATGCCATTAGAATTACTATAGAATGTTGCCTTTTTTTAGGGGCCCCCACATCCACCGCACAGTAAATGTGCTGAAAATACTGTTGAATCGTGCGCCGTTCTCAGCTTTATTGTGATTTTTTTTTTGCCGGAGTGTTTGTGGCTTGATGATGATGATGATGTTTCGATTTAAAGCTTTTGTGACTGCAGGGATTCATATTCTTGGTTCTTTCGGTAAAGTCACTTAGAAGGGAAATAATTAAATAAGAAAAAAATGTACAAATAAAACAATAAAAATTTTTTGCTGTGGTTTTCACACCTGATGATGATTGCTTGTGTTGCAATCGACACGTCGTGAAAATGTTATTGTTTTATTTTTATTATTTCCCTTCTACGTGACTTTACCAAAAGAACCAAGAATATAAAGATGATGATGTTGTTTGCTCATCCAGGAAAGCCTCACTAAGTCTTCAGAGAAGCGATGGGTTTCATTGAATAGCCCTACGTGTATGGCAGTGCGACAGGTAACCTCGTACAGTTTTAAAGCAACAATATGGTTTTTCCGATCACGACGATTTTTTTCATGGGTTCGATTCCCAACTGGGTTGCCTTTCTACGTGAAGTTTGAATCCTGGACATCTGTGAAAAAGAGCTATATCGCTCATCGGATTCCTCCAGTATAAATAAATAATCTTATTCTGTATGTTCACCCACCGCTACGTGGGATTCCTCCGAGTTCCCTGATAGTCTCCCCCAATAGCTAAAATATATATATAATGTAACCCCCTTCTGCAAGAATAAAAAAACTTGGCAGGATACCCCTGAAAAAAAGTGTTGAGGCTTTCCTGGGTAAACAAGCAAATCAAATCTATGCAATTCATGTCCTTTAGGGGCGACAGAATTTTCAACGAAACTTTAAAGTACCCCGATCACCCAGCATGTTACCCCCCTCCAGCGATTGAAATGCCATCTTTGCTCATGCGCGTTTGGGTTTCCCTTCGACGGGGAGCGTCTTCGCTTCACGGAGCTCGGTTCTTGGTAGCCGGAGTGGAGTGTCTCAGCCATGTGGAACCGCATTTAATTCGGGAAATAAATATTTCTGGCTCAGAATAACAAGAAATAAATACCGTTTGCAAGGGCAGAGATGAGAATGCTGAGATGCAAATGAATAAGTTTGAGCCTTAGCGGGAGTCACTGATGTTCTCGAGAAGTTAAGGTGCGGTGAGACTTTGGTGTTTGGGCACGCGTAAAGAAGCGATAGAAGGGCTGTAGAGACACCAGCGGTGCAGGGGAGGAGGGGAGGGAGACCGAGGGTGAGAGATGGGAGGATGCAGCGGAACGAGGACAGTGGACGTGACCTCGAAGAGGCGCAGAATAGCAAATCCGAGCAGCCCGACCCCAAGCGGTCTTTTGGTTTAGCAGAAGTCTTTGTGCCTTGCGATGGTGAAAAGTAAAAGAGTCTCCCACCAGCAGTGCCGACGCATCGTCCATCCTGGACTCATCGGTGGTGCCGGCGCCGTGTTGATCCTGTGCTCCTCGTAGTTGCCAGAGCTTTGTCGATCCTGTGCTCATCAGCCATGCCGTCTCGATCCTGTGTCGCGTATGCAGCTGCGGCGGCAGGCTCTGGAGAGAGCGCGTCGCGGCGCAAGGTGAAGCGCCTGCTGAGCTGCCAGCGCTACCTGCGGGCCACGCCGGTGCAGCGGGGCGGCTGCTCGCGTCTCTCCCTTCACATGCTGGACGACGATTACGACGGGCAGGCCAAGGTGGGCTCCTGCACGGCTTCACATTCGTAACGACAATCGTCTTCACATTCATAATAACGATCATCTTCACATTCATAACAACGATCATCTTATGCTTAGGTTTTTTCGGTAAAGTCACATAGGTAAAACATTTAAATTAATAAAAAGTAAAATAAAAATAAAATAAAAATCACGACGTTTCGGAGGCAACACAAGCTTCCGTCTTCAGGCGGAACAGTTACAGCACGATAGCTGTATCAAGTGAGAGAAATTCCAAGAAAACCGTATTTTTTTTTAATACTTTTTAGTAATTTTAATTTTTTACCTACGTGACTTTACCGAAAAAACCTAAGAATATGAATCCTTGCAGTCACGAAAGCTTCAAATCTAGAACGATGATCTTCACATTCGTAACAACGATCGTCTTCACATTCATAATAACGATCATCTTCACATTCATAACAACGATCATCTTCACATTCATGACAACGATCCTCTTCAAATTCATAATGACATTCATATGGCACCCAGTTCTTTAAATGCCTCAGAAACTCAAAGCTCATGACACCACATCTCATCGCAAATATTTGAAGAGCACCCCCAGTGGTAGCTGTCCCTGCACCGCACAAGGTAGCTGGGCGCCAGCCTTGCAAGAGGGACATTGTCCGCCAGTATGGGGGGACGATGATTGCTGCGTGTAATCTCGATTTAAGTTCATTTGGCGATACATTTTTTTTTTTTTATCTGGAAAATTTGGATCATGACGCCGGCGGCACACGGTGGCCTACTCGTTATGAATGACGACACGGGATCTTTAACGTCCACTGTGAAGCGGACGGCACGTGCGGTTAATACTTCCCCCGCACCTCCGATTAGTACAGTTGGCCCGGCACGAAAGAAGTTCAACATACATACATTCACAGTGTTAACCAGGGGCGCCTTTCAGATTCGACCTACGCATCTCTCCAACAAACGGCGACCACTCTTCCGCCGGGCCGTATCACTACCCCACTCGTTCCCAGTCTTTCTCATACGATGATGATGGCGGCGATGATGATGGCGGCGATGATGATGGCATCAGGGGTGGCATGTGTATGACCTTATCACCTTGGCCGATCATGTTTATTAATCATCACTTGTTTATTCTTGCCGGGTTTTGGGCAAAACCCTTTTATCAATTTCGCTTCCAAACCCCCGCTGGTCAGGTGGCAGTCTCAAGAACTTCCTCATCTGTTGTGACTGTGACTCTCTCTTCTCTGCAATCAGTTATATAAATTAGTGCCACGCTGTTTTTGTACGTCGTCTTCAGGTGCATTGGAATTTATAATGCCATATGATAGTATGGTAATTCATATGTATATACCTGTGCATAGAATATATAGTAGATAATTTACCATTGGTTTGTTGTAAAGTGTAGCTTTGTAGAATTTTTAATTCTCCCAATTTTTTTATTTGTATCATTCTCTGCTCATTGCTCGGACCATCTTTGAGTAGACGAGGGATGTAGCATTGCATGTGTATTGATGTACACGTGGTATGTGCTAAGTGAGACTTGTGTGCCTTCCGTTGCAGTGCATGTTGATGAAGGCTGCAAGCTGGAGCTTTGACATGTTTTTGTTCGACCGATTAACCAACGGTAAGACTTTTAATTTCGCCGTTGTTAAATTATTCATGCGTCCTCTCAAAGGCATAAGTTTCCCCGACCTAAGTCAGAATTCAATTATGAGCATTCCCTTGAAAATGAGAATACCAGCTGAGCACGAATGCGTATTTATATTATACTTCGATGATCTTAAACTTGGTAAAAAAAAGTTTTTCTTAATTTTATATTTAAAAAAATGTAGTTCTGGCCAATTTCCGCTGATGTTAGTCATGGCCTAGAGTTTTACTCGGTTCGCTTGGTTCATTTAGCGCACCTCCTCTCTCTCCAAGTGTATTGCTACGTCAACTTCATCAGGTTATCGTCATTGTGTCGCACAGCTCCTCCGATGTTTTCCCGATTGCACCGCCGCGTGTTGTTTTGCGCACGACGTCCAAGGTTTCGCCCCCGCATGCTGGGAAGCTTCTTCAGGAGCCGAATGTCAAACAGCGCAACGCGAAAACATAATCGGAAAGTTGCATCGCTGCTACGTTACAAGTTTTGTAGTTTAACACGTAGGCTTAAGCGAGCAATATCCATAATAGAGATTTTTTTTTGGGTTGGATCACGTAAATATGAATGTGTCATTAAACCCACCACCCCCTGACACAGCCAATTCGTAAGGTTTGTCACGTAATCAAGAAGTTCCAATTAGTTACTAGTTCAGCACACCGGCGTGTTGGAGAATTAAATCCACAACATTTACAATTTGAATACCGTGACGTTTCGCCAGTAATTACAACCAGCCTCATTAAACTTACGGAGTAAATCCTCCTGTTTCGGTCTTAAAAATGTTGTACATTGTTTGTTTTTCAACAGGGAACAGCCTGGTGTCCCTCACATGCCACTTGTTTAATTTCCACGGACTAATCCAGCACTTCCAACTCGACATGGTCAAGCTCCGTGGATTTCTCGGTGAGATTCTAAAGCTGCTGCCGCTGTCGCCTACACACCACAGGCAGGGGTGTACTGCCATCAAACGCTGTGGGTCTGCACCAGCAAGCCTGTTGACGTGGCTTTGCATTTATTATTTTGCACCGAGTTGGTTCCCCACTGCCCGTTCCGTTTGGGTTGTTCCGTGTCAAATAATCAGATACAGGCGCTACGATGGAAGTGACATGGCTTTGATTTTTTACCTGGAACCTCGGAAGCAGTGTGAGGGGTATTATGAGGTGCTTTCAAAAACGTTCACCACATTATCACTTAATATTTAGAAGGGAGGTTGGTGAAGTCCCTCTTGACAGGTGTTTCTTTGCAGCCATTTCTAGGAATCTGTTGTAGATGTAGAATGTTGCGCACTGTTTTTGCACGTTCCTGCATTTCTGTATGCAGATTCAGAATCTATGAACCTAAGTACAATATCATTTTTTTTTCTGAACTTAATTTGAACCTGCCAAATATTTAAGAAGGTTTGATTTAAGGTGAAATGTTTGGCACCTTTGCTTTGCACCACACACACCACAGCAAATCGAGTTTCTCGGCACCATTTCTTGACACGGATCACAACCCGTTTGTGAACTGGAATGATAATCTGGTGGTTAAAAGCAGTTTGTGACGTCTGAAGAGGAGAGCGACAGTTGTTCTTGAAGTATCGAGAATATGTTCTTCCCGGCTGACTGTCAAGCCCAAATTAATCATCACCCAGGTCAATTAGCAACTTCTATGTTACCAGGAGTCCTGAGAACACAAGATCATTTTTGAAACTAAATAAATGACAGCGAGTAAATACATATATTGAATACAGCCTGTTATCCTGTAACGTGGTAGCTGTCTTCCTGAAGACAACCACGTTTTGGAAAAATTGCGTTATTATAAATAATATATAATGTAGAGTAAAGCACAGTCAGTAATAACACGTGAGATGAGTACGCAGGCTGAACAAAGATAGCATCTAGAAGCATCCAGCAGCGTCCCACTGCCTTGTGCGATGCTACGCCGAGGCAGCCGTACGACCGCTTATTCCTACTCGTGCAACGTAGTTCCGTTTGCTCGATCGCGTGATATCCAATTTGCTTTCACGTTATAAAAAGTGCGTTCCCTAAATACATTCATCGACTTATGAAAACATGCAGCGTTATAAGAGAACAGACTAAAGTTGATATTCTTGGTTCTTTCGGTAAAATCACGTAGAAGGGAAATAGTAAAATAATATAAATATAAAACAATAAAAATGTTCACGACGTTTCGACTGCAACACAAGCAATCGTCATCAGGTGTGAAATCCACGGCAAGAATTTTTTTTTGCTGTGGATTTCTTTACCGAAAGAACCAAGAATATGAATCCCTGCAGTCACGAAACTTTTACATCAAAATTTTGACTAAATTTGGTTTTGCGGGTGCTCGGAATTGAGTGAACGTTTGCGTACGTTGTGGAACCAAGCCCTGTGTTTATGCAGTGCACCATTTTGACGAGCAACACAACCGATGGACGTTTTAGGCAATTGGCAAGTCTACTGAAAGCACATGTTCTGAGGCTCGTTGTTGACGGAGCCGTGGCTTCATACACGTGTGTGTGTTTGCATGTGCCTGGTGTGTGGGTGTGTTCTCCACGATGGGTGCGGAGCGGTAGTGTAGCGGTTAGCGCGCTGCGCTACGAACCTGGCGACCCGAGTTTGATTCCCGTTCACGGCCAACACCAGTGACGATTACCTGAACTGGTCATTGGCCTCCCGTAGGAAGACTCTGCCTCAAATGAGTACCTAGTTCGGTGTGTAAACATCGCCACTGGGGAGACAAAGGCGGCCGGGCATGGTGCCGGCCACCCCACCCCCCTCGCGTACCGTGATGTCCTTTTGTAGGTGCCGCTTGCGAACAGCACTTGCTCCCAACAGTCTGTTAAGGCTGTACGGTGGGTGTGTGGTGGTGGTGTTGTCTCTGTGCAGTGATGGTGCAGGAAGACTACCATAACCAGAACCCGTACCACAACGCGGTGCACGCGGCGGACGTAACGCAGGCCATGCACTGCTACCTGCGCGAGCCCAAGGTGAGAAACGTCGACGCGCGTTGGCGGACGCTTTTTTTTCTCTTTCGTTTTTTTTTTTAAAGACATTTCAAAAAAAAAATCTCACGCTTCTGCTGCCCAGAGAAGGGCCCCCGGCCTGTCGGGAACTTGACAGCTCCACGGAGGAGAGGGTTTTGGGGCCTACTTTTACACGCTGGGAGCTACCCACGCATTACCCCCCGTAGCAAGCGGCCAAGTTCTACTGGGGGGACGATTTAATAAACTTTCCCTTTTGTTTCAACTGACTGCCACGCTGGGTATCCAGTATGCTCGTTTACACACGCAGTTTTACACCTCACTCTATTGTGATCTCGTCATTGGGCATGTCTGATTTGGCACAAATTCTGTACGTTTTCATTACAATGAAAAGTGCTATTTAATTCAAAGGATGTTGTTCGTCCAGCTTGGTTGGTAACACAGTTTACGCCAGTTGTAGATGAAGAGCAATGATTAGTTCGTGGCCTCTCGCGTTATAATACACGAGTGGATTTCTGAACTGTTTAAATGGGACCTGCTGCGTTCCCACTTCAAGCCAAGTGTCATTCGGTGTATGCTCAGATTCACCGATGAGTGGCACTCTGTGAAGAGTACTTGGCCTGAGAAGCAAACGACTCTGCCAGTTCAAATTCCCGGTTGAAGTGTCAATTCGGGCCACCAATCCCATCTTTCGTTGTGGTTTATTAGCAGTGGTTCTTCGCTGGTAAGCCTCAATCCAGCCATGGGAATGTTTAATTTCCACCACGAGCTTGGCCCGACGTAGATGAGCAGTTGTTGCACCCTCGATTGAGCAAGGAGCCACTTGGACAGTGTTTGACCTCCCCACTGTGGTCAAATTGAACGAGTGGATGCCCATTAATGGATGAAAATTCAGATGGACCGTATGCGATGTGCTGGATTTATTCTGCCTATGACGTGAATTCTTTTTATTTTTTTATAATTTCGTCATGGATTGTGCTGCCCGTGACTGCCCAAAATGTATCCCCCACCACAGCCCTGTGACAGCCTCCTTTGTACATGGCGGTCACCGATCTGAGCACAATCGACCCTCAATATCAGTGCTCTTCACTGCAAAGCCCCGCAGGCTACTGGCGGCCTCTGGTGGCCTTTAGTACGGCCGCTGACGTGCGGCCCCCGACAATACACAAATGTGAAAACACCCCCCCCATCATCATCATGTGTGGTGGCCCTCGCATTGATGATGTCTTATCTGAAAATTAGTGAAGAACACTGCTCAACCCACTGCTTAGCTTAACAGGCCTGTTATACAAGGCCTATAACCACATCCTGGTAATATGGTCATAGGCCTCATATAACATGACAACCCTTAAAATCCTGGTCGAAGTATTATGACTGGGTTTAGACATTTGGCCGACCGATAGAGTATTATGCTCGCGAGTGTGGAAATCGCAATGCCTGTAGAAAGCTCGGGCATGTGTGTTTGAGAAGATACCGTTCGGACTTTGCACAGATAGGCGAGGAAGCCTACTTTCTGTACCGCTTCTGACATAGACACACCGCCTTGTGTGGCGCGCAGAAGCTGGTTCTGTCTGTGGTGGCAGCGACGTTCGTTAGAGAGTGTGCGTGCGTGCGCCGTGCTTGTGATACCCTGGGCTGCCACCACGATGCCGCTGCGGTCGGTGCCGAGTTGTGCGCACAGCGTGGAAAGAGGCTTAACCGCATGCACACGTATCGCTTTCGGGAGCATCCTTCGGGGGGGGGCGGGAGGGGGGGCGGTACGTCGAGCCACCGCCGTTCCAACTATCGCCAAAGGTCGGTTCTGAAGCGAGCCACGAATAGCGTCAGTGTCTCTAAATCCCTGTGGCCAAATAGTGAAACAAAAAATGCTAGGGTATGCTGTACAGAGAGCCCCCGGTCACCTCGTGCCCTCCACCCCGCCCCCCGTAATCCTACTCTCAGGAATGTGCATTGTGGAGAGCGCGGCGCATTGAAGCCCAGCAATCTTGGCCTTGCTCGTAAGGCATCCCTGGTAATGACATGACTGCGGTCAGTGATTGCGTTGTCTCAGAGCCATCGGGCTCGATGACGGCGCGTTTGGTTCTTATTCGGTAAAAAATGTAAAGATTTACAATATATATTTTTTCAGCCACCACACACATTTCTTTTTGCTCTGATGTCTTATCCAGGGGAGCGCAGTGGTTTTGAGTTACAGAAATTACTGCGTGCGGCAGTAGTCGTCGTAATTGTAGCTGCTCCCCGGTCTTTTCTTAACCCTACATCTTTCCAGTCAGTGCATAGCTATTGCTGTTATTGGAAGCCACGATGGTACAGGGAAAATGGCATGCTCGTCACGGCAGTCCAGGGGAGCCAAGTTCGAATCCAAATCAAAATGTGGATAATGTCATTACGCGTCCCCTCTGCCTGCCTGCGTTGCGGCAAAGGGAATTTGGCAGGGTTCACTCTGCGGTCTCCCACTTCTCTTACAAATTAATCTGTCCAGCAGAACGTAGCAGAACAAACTTCCCTGAGTGCTGCGAGTCGTGATGATATATTACTTGAACAATGTTATCGTTTCCAATTGCGAAAATTTCAGCCAACGTGCCTTTTGCGAGTTCGGCATGTTAAGTAAATTGTTAAAGGGGCAGCCCTGCATTTTGCTTGATCATGTCACTGCTGGCAGAAGGAACCTCCACTGAACAGAGAGAGAGCCCCTACATGCATTGAGAGTATTCAGATTATTTTGCTGCTATAAATGTCCAAATGATGGACCACTTTGAACTATTACTCGTGGCAAGGTCGCTTCTCAATAATAAGTGAATACTGGGCTTTGTCTGGTAGGATGTGGATGGTTTAATTGTATTTGTATGTGTTTGGGTGATTTGTTGACCTTGTTTGTACTTTGCGCTACTATCGTGTATTTGTACTGTTTCGTTGTTTTTTTACCAGCCCCAACTGGACATCTGTGAAAAAGAGCTTGATAGCTCATCTGGTTCCTCCAGTATAAATACATATTCTGATTCTACAGAGAGGTTTTATTTTATATATACATTAAGCTTTTATTTAACAACACACGAGCCCATTGCAGCTATTCGTGCGATCCAGTTTGAGGGTCACCCGTCACTAGAAGCCGTCCTGATGCAACTGAGCTGGATAAACCAGAGCGGGGGGGGGAGGAGGAAGTGGGTTGGAGGGGAAGGGCCCGCTTCCCCAGCAAGAGTGAGGCCGTGATAAACGAAATGTTTTAACTCGCGTGGTGGGGGTTCTACAGAGTTTTGAAACGTCGGACGTCGTGCCGAACAACACGCCGCACGGCACGTACTACGTGAGCCCACGCAGTGGCTATTGATCACTTTCGCACACCTGCAGAAAGCAGCCGTCACGTCCACTATTTGCATGCGTGGAACGTTAACACGGAAACAGCCTTTCCCCTAGCAGTTGGTCAACTTGTCAGAGCGTGCTCAAACAGTGTCCCATTCAACCTGCCACTCCCGCAGTACTACGAAGATTCATTTGCCACTTTAACGCGTCCAAATAATCGTTGGTGTTCAGCTCAGCATTGCGCTGGCTGTTCCAGTTTCCTTTTTGATTTCGTTTCAGATACCCCTTGGGGGTGTGGTGATTGTTAATTGTCTTCGCATGTACCTGTGTTCATTATAGCCTCTGTTTTTATATCATCTTGTCCACATCCTGTATACGGCTTGTACTCTACACATTTAGAAACATGCGTTTAGGTTAGTATTTGGCTGCTTTAATGTCCGCATGATAAGCCACTTCATTGTGCTCTTACTTCTGAAAAAGAGCTATATAGCTTAGTGGAGCTTTACCTGGTAAAATAAAAATAGTAATTTTTTATCCATTGGTTAAATCGTTATTATTTAAAGAACGGTATACGTTATACCGTTAGTTTGAATATTTTCGTGTTTGCATATACGGTGTCGCATTACGTGTAGGGCATTAGAAAGAATGTCCGTGCATGCTTCTGCAAAATAGGCACGCTGTCTTTGTGCGGCCGTGCACAGGCTATTGTTTTCAGCGTGATGTCAGTGTCATACCGAGCGCGCGAGGTTGCTTAGTTTAGTGGTTACGCAGCACGTGCCACAAAAAAATGACGGTCACGTTCTTCCAAATCGACACGGACAGTTCCATTTGAACCCCCCCACCTTCTCTGTCATCTGTCTCGTCCACAAAGTGTCACGCAGCTGGGAAAGCGTGACGCTCGTCAACGCTTACCACTGCGCCAGTTGGGGCCAAGTCAACAGTTCATGTTACCCCGCCACCTGGCAATTCTCTGCGCAGGACGTTACTAAAATACGACGGTGTTTTTGTGTTCATCTCGATACCACCGTCGCGGCTGCATGGACCCCGGTTCTTCAACGATGCCACCCATGCCCTCCGTGTTGACAAGGGGGTGGCAGGGACTGGGCCTGATTTCGCAATTCGTGATCACAGTATTGCTTGGAACCTTCAGCAAGTGAATGGTGGCGACAGGCTGATGCAGGCTTGAATGGAACTTGGGACAGTCGGCTAATCCCGCAGTGGAATAACAACAGCCACGTCTTGCAGATGACCAGCCAGTAACCATGGAAAAGCGGCTGCAGAGCCGGTTCTGGCATCAAGGACAGGGGCTCGTATTTGCTCATCAGCTACCAGTTAGTCCAGCAAATGTGTGTATGTGGGGAGCGGTAGTGGTAGTGGTTTTCGCGCTGCACTACGAACCCGGTGACCTGGGTTTGATTCCTGCTCATGGCTGACACCATTGACGATTATCTCAACTGGTCCTGGGCCTCCCCTAGGTTGACTCGGCCTAAAATTATTACCTGGTGCGGTGTGTAAGCCTTGCCCACGACGGAGACAAAGGCGGCCGAGCGTAGTGCTGGCCACCCACTCCCTTCATGTGCCATTCTGGCCTACATAGGTGCTCGCTAAAAGCACTTTCCCCAACAGTCTGTTCAGGCTATACTGGGAGACCTTTGGCTTTGTGTATGCAGCGTGACTGATCATTTAACTATCCTGATGCCAGTACTGATCTGGCACGATTGTCACACGGTGCAAGAATGGAGGCTGCTAGTGCCCATGACTGTTGTGGTGTGCTAAGGCATGTGTAAACACGTGCGTGGTCACGCGGATGTCTGTATAGCTACAGTCAACATATTGTGATTTAAACTAGATTCGAAGCTTTCGTGACTGCAGGAATTACTCTCTGGTTCTTTCGGTAAAGTCACGTAGAAAGAAAATAAATAAAATGATAATAGAATACGACGTTTCGATTGCAACACAAGCAACCATCATCAGGTAAGAATGAATGAGAAAACAAACATAGTAAACTTAGAAATACAATGCAATACAACACAACGTATATTTAGTTTCAGGTTTTTATTTTATTTATCCAGATAGGAAACCCATGGGACCAAGAGTGACCTGGGCCACCCAAAATTACAAAAGCGAAACGGAGTTCAGCAATGAAGCAAAATGTGTTTGCTGGTTTGAATATTTTGCGCAACGCACGTCCATATGTGGCCACCTGAATTGTCGTGTTCATTGATGCTTGCGTTAGCGTCTGTGCGTTTACGGGCGAGTTGACTTAACCACAAGATGGTACACGACTACGAGACGTGCTGAGATACGTCTGCAGCTGCGGCAGCAGTGAGGTGCGGTGGTTGGCGCGCTTCGATGGTGCCCTCCTGGCACTCGGGGGTTGGAATTCTGCCCACGCACATCAGTGGCGAGGGCTCCATGAACCTGCGCTCGGGCCTGAGTTGACCAAGCCATCAATAAATGCCGACTGTGAGAACATCTGCACTGGGGAGACAAAGATGACCAGGCATTCTGAATAACTACCTCTTCTCCCCCACCCCCCTCCCCCAAATCTTGCGTATTGCTGGCTTTAGTAGGTGCTCACTGAGAGCACTTGGTTCCTGTAAGGCTATACGTTGGTCTGTATATATGATCTGGAAGTTTTTAATGTATTTGTGTATAACCAAGTGTGTGCAGCATATTGTTACGTGGGTGCGTGTACGTGTCCGTTGATGTTTGGAGAACGGTCGTGTGGCGATTGGCGCAGTGCGCGACTAGTGCGGCGACCCGAGTTCAATTCCCGCTCGCTGCTGGCATCAGTCATGGATACCCGAGCAGGTAGAGGTCGTAAAATTTGCACTTGGTGCAGTGTGTAAACATCACCAATTGGGAAGACAAAGGCAGCCAGGATTGGTGCTGGCCACCGACCCTCTCGCGTGCCACCAGGGTGCTGGCTGTGACGGCACTTTCCTCGACAGTCTGATGGAGGCTGTAACGGCTGGCTCTGTGTCGTGTGCGTCATCACGTGCGGGCTCACTCTCTCTCTTTCTCCGTGGCTCACCGACGCGTGCCTGGCGTGTGGTTTCCTGCAGCTGGCCGTGCACCTGACGCGCAGAGACATCATGCTGGGCCTGCTGGCCGCATCGGCCCACGACGTGGATCACCCCGGGGTCAACCAGCCCTTCCTCATCAAGACTCACCACCACCTGGCCAGCCTGTACCACGTAAGGGGCACCTCTTGCGCACGCCGCGGGCCCGCGTCGGCGGTGTGAGCGACGCGAGGAGATGGGAGAGGGAGAGAGGATAGAGAGACACGAGGGGGAAACAAAGAAACACGAAGCGAGGCACGAGAAGAGCGAGACAGACCCTCGGGTGACCCAGGGAGGTCGGGTAATTCCCTTGCTCCGAGTGCAGCATCTTCCGCATATTAAGAGGCTAATTAAAAATAATCACGGGTTTTTACTGCCACCGAGAGGAAAGAAGCTTTTAAGTGTTTCGGCAAATGTCCTGCAGGAAATATTGAGGTTCACAGTGGGAAGAGGTTTCTTGTATATACCGACAACACGGCTTGGGTGCAGTTGTGAGCATGTCACTGTGGCACAATGAGCGTTCATAGTCTGAATAACGATTAAAGATTCCTACGGGCGAGTATACGAGAGTGTATATGTTGTAGCTTTAGTCGTTTGATTGGGGAGAAGTTTCTAATTTGGGAAATTGTTTTTAACGGTGGCAGCTTTTTTTGCAATTGACGTCACCGAGCCTAAAATGATTAATATTTGTATTTGGGTTCTGCCACATGGGGGCCGTAAATTCAACCGCCGGTGGCATCTACATCTGCAGAATGACGACCCAGTGGCATCTAGATCAACAGGAGATTATACAACTTGTAAAGCGATGCTCCGTGTTTAGTGTACACGCCGTACAACACGTTTGGAATCCATAGGAGTAAAGTTGGACGTATGAACAAATCGCCTTACGGACAGACCTCTGGAACCTAACTTGTTTGTAAGTCCCTGTGTTGTCTGTCATTTGCCCTCTGCCACCCAACAGCATTTTAAACTTTTACAAATACAGTGAGTGATCATTGTGTTGGTTTCAAAAACCTGCGTTTTAAGGACTCTTATACTTTTCCTTTCTTGTATGTAGCCTGCAGTATTGCATTGACACTTGAAAAGCATTTAGGCCGGTAATACAAACAAGTACCGTTAAAAACGAGGTGAAACATACATCCACATATTTTTTTTGTCAAATCGTGATCCCGAATTGTGGCGGTCGACGACTGTAAAACGGTGCACCACTTCAAAACGAGATTATGCCCTTCGGTACGCGAGATTTCGCCGGGTGGATTTGCAACAGTGGGAAAATAATGTTGCTCTTTGAGGTTGTCCCAGTCTTTGCTGGAGGGCTCGGTGGTGATAAGTGTGTTGACAGCTGAAAAGAGCTGGATGAATGTAAATAAAACCTTGTTTATATGAATGTGGATCCACTCGGGGTTTAAATCTACAGCCTTTTTTGAAGCATCGGTGTGTAAGAGCAGCTTGACCCTAAGTTGAACCCGGATAGCTGAAAGAAATGCAAGAATTGCCAGCTCAGGATAGAGGAAGGTGAGGTCGTGATGATGATAACTTTAAGAATAGGTTCACAGAAGTGGAAACTTGCATACGCATAAATGCGTACATGCGCACGCATCGTACCCCATGCAACACTCAAGCACACACTGCCACCATCTACACATTGTACTGGGACAACACGTAAAAATGTGCACTGCGTTTAAAAAAAAAAAAGCTCCCGGAAATAAGCGTTATGAGAAAAAAAACACGAGTGCCCAAAGAACTGCATCGTGGTCATCTCTTCTCTTGCTGTTGCGATCGGTTTTCCCCACCTTGTACAGATTTTTAAACACCGTATTTGGCACAGTGCCGACTAAAGGTCATTCACACGCGCACACACACTGCGAACAACTCGGCATGCAAACATAAACCGTGTGTAAGTACAAACAAGTGCAAACAAAGGTACTTTTGCGCGGTTGCGTACGTACTCCTTGCAAGGCCCACGCACGCGTGCACACACTTTTTGCTCGTGCGGTTCTGGCCTGTGTCGCACGGTCGCGTGCGACATTAACGGCGACCTAAGTGGCGCGTGCCCGAGCAAATTGATGACGTGTTGGCATGTGTTCAGGCAGTGCATCTTCTCTGTGGCAGCGTCATCCTGACGACAAATCGCCCATCCCTCATCGGACACGAGATGTTGATTATTATTATCATTATTATCAGATTCATTATTCACACGTTACGAGTGTAGGCATTTGGGAATTGCACTTATTGGACGTTCACCCATAGGGATCCGTGTTTCACACATGCTAATGCGTCACTGCCTCTCTGCACACGCTTGCTGTCATCAATCCATTCATCTCAGTCACTGTGTGATTAGACACTGAAGTTGCACTTTAATTTTGGATTCTTTAACTAATTCATCGTTTAATTTGTATTTAATCATAATTTTATTATTCATTTCAAAGTTTCACGTTGTACTTTTCTGTGTTACCATTTGTTTACGTGTACATTGTGCACATTAATACTGACTAATGTGTCACCTTTACATCTGAATGTGTTTAAACACGGGGCCTACCTTAAGAAAAGAGACTTCTAGTCCCAGTGTGCTCTCAGCTGGTTATAAACAATATTACATTACAATGACAACCAGTTGCCCTTCAAAACTCGCGTACACTTACAGGAAGGGTGTTTAAAACAAAAACTTAACTGCGGCAAAATTAATCTGCCCTCTATAAATACACTCGGCAAATAAATACACAACCGTGTGCTTACGCGGGAGTGTGTGGTAAGAAACTCCTCCATGGATGACAGCCACCATCCATTACAGGAGGGCTCGATGGGAGGTCCTTGTCGTAGCCAGCTGTCGAGTGCACCAGGATCCTTGCTCAGTGGCGTGAACTTGAGATGCGCGTGCAGCGTTCGAGTGGCATGACAGTCGTAAATGGGGCGTCAGGTTTGTTTGGAGACCCGCCGGGCTGCCCGGCTGTTCAAGCACGCGGCCGGGGGGTGGGTCACCCTGGGTGAACGCCGTCGTTCAGTTTAATTTTTTCTGAAAGGCCTTTTCTGAAATCGTATAAATCGGACTGATAACGATAGGACATTTCGCGTTGGTTTAAAAGCTCAGTCCGTAGACACTCTGAAGAATTAAACACCGTTTGTATCGGGGTCCGCATTATTACGTTCATATAGCAATAAGTGTATGTACATTTCTACTGAAATGGACTACCGCTCGTTTCTACAGACCTTGAGTTTCTCTCTCTCTCTCCATTCGGCATTTCCTCGATTTAAGCAGCAGTCACATAGAAGTACGATTGTAAATTTACATCCCTTACATCAATCAACTGCCGGACGACAGCCCTTCCACAATGCCGTGCGGGTTGTGGGAGTTATTTGGCCATACTTCACCACACTGGTCAGCCTGGGTGGAAGGCAGGGAGCAAAGACGTATGAGCTTAGAAGCACAACAACGGATTGTTCTGCACTGCCCCTTTCTACCGACAGCGTAGCGCAGCCCTGCAACTGCCTATGGCAGCCTGGTGGGCGCCACGATAGCGAGATGTTAACTCCCTTGCCTGGTACACAGGAGGTCGTGGGTTCGATCCCGATCCTGACGCCTGCTGTATATTTGGAGTTGGCATGTTCTCTCCCTCCCTGTGGTCGCATGGATTTTTCTCCGGCTCTTCCCGTTTTTGCATCCACCTTTAGAATCCTTGAATCGTTCAGAGTATTTGGCTGCTGTAAATTTCCACGTGATAAGCTACTTCGTTGAGCTGTCATTTGTGGCTATGTCGCTTCTGAAAAAGTGAGAAATAGTTCAGTGCACCTTGCCTGGTAAAATAATAACTAGTTTAGTTTTAGATTAAGAGGCAAAATTTCCCATTCCCTTCACATGGGCGAGTCGATTCATTAAGCGAAACAACTGGAGGCTTCCCACAGTGGCGCTCGTTAGGAATTTGCCTCCTGTTTAAACTGGTGGGCACCCTTTGCCTTACTTGCAGAAGTATAATCAGGACGATCGAGCGAAAGAGATGTAGTTTGGGTACATTCTCACAGGTGTGTGTTGGATGGAGAAGGTTGTATTTATGTTTGCAGATTATCGTTTTTTTTTAATGTCCCCACCGTACACAGCCAACTGTGCTAATCCGTTGTGGAAGGGTCAGGGACCTTGGGAAAGAGGCCAAGAGGCAGAGAAAGAAAAATGCTGCTTGACGCCTTCAAGGAAGGAAGGAAGAAGGGGGTGCATAAGTGGCATGAGGAAGAGGGCTCCAGATCAGATAGAACGGAGGGAGTTTGAGCCAAAGACCTGCCACTGGCACGATAGGAGGAAGTCTTCCAATCACTATAAATCATTGTAATGTTAGCGTAATGTAAATAGGCATTTAAGAAAACGCATAATCACGCTAAAGCGTCTCTCTCAAGGACATTGACATCTCATCGCGCTGTCTCATCGCACCTCCAATGAGCTCGGTTGGCTATGTACAGTGCGAAAGAAGTTCAACGTACACACGCGTACATACGATAATAGGTTTTCCCCCTTTTTTCTGGCAACAAAACAGGTGTTAAAATGTTTAAACACCAAACTGAAACCTTTCACAAGGAATCATGTCTGCATTAACCACAATGCTTGTGATCAGAATGCAAACAAAAAAAAGTTATTTAATGAACATACGTTCATTAAATTACTTTGAAGGTCTCGCTTGAAGTGGTCTCACGATGTAGCGCACTGAGATGAGCGTAACAGCAGCGCGCGCCGTGCCTCCGCAGAACTCCTCGGTGCTGGAGAACCACCACTGGCGCTCCACGGTGGGGATGCTGCGGGAATCCGGACTCTTCGCTCACCTACCGATGGACGAGAGGCGAGTGTCACTCTGCCGCCATGTATTCATCACCATCCCAGAGTCTCCGCGTGACTTGTGACACATGAGTTGTCCGTGTGCAGTGTCATTAATGTCACGTGTGATACGCTATGCATGCAAGGGTTGTTTGTTGTGAAGCTGTCTTACCCTAGATTGGTGGTGGTGTTGTAATTATTGTGTGCAGACTGCAGATGGAGAGGGATCTTGGTTCTCTGATTCTCGCCACGGACATCAGCCGACAGAATGAGTTCCTGTCCCAGTTCAAATCTCACCTGGACAAGGGGGACTTATGTCTTGAGGAAGCTCCTCATCGCCACTTCATATTGCAGGTATGGGTTCAGGAATCGCACAATCCTCTGCTAGCAAAGGCAGAGGCGGCCTGCCGCATCAGCTCGATGTGTATACGGTCACGTACTTCCAGAGACCCAAAGATGACAAAATTAACATTAGCCTTTTATTTTTCAGCCAATTGCTGCTTCATAATAAAAAAAAAAGTCAGAGTGCCGGGCTTGAATTTCTGAGGTCCTGGTTTAACCCAGGTGCCCATTCGTGATAAACCCCAGAGCTCCAGTGTCGTGAGGCCATGGCCTCCTCTCGCGCACCCCCCTAAAGCCCCAGGAATCTTGGCATGAAAAGTGGATCATTTTAAGAGGGTTATTTGCGTTAAACCGATCAAGACAATAAAAATAACTGTATGATGATAACATATATGAAGGAATATCAACTTTGTGACAGAACTATATACATCTCAATACTTATTTTGAGCCCGAGTGCAAACATTAAATGAGCTTAAAACTTCAAGTAGCCAAAAGAAAGTGATCCTGTAAAGATACCTGATGCAACAGGATAGACCACACTACAGCAAAGAAAATCGTTAAGGATGCATAGCAGCGTGCGTTGTACGTGCGTGGAAGATCAGAGCCCCCTGACGGTAATTAACGGATAAACCGCGTGTGTATTCCAGTTAGCTTTATGAATGTATGTTGAACATCTTCAAGATGTTAACTACCTCGCCGGGTATGCAGGAAGTCGTGGGTTCGATCCCAACCCTGCCACCTGTATATTTGTAGTTTGCATGTCTGTGTCTCAGTGGTTTGTGTTGATTTTTCCCTGAGTTCTCCAGTTTTTCCCTCCACATTTCGAAACATGCAGTTAGAGTATATGGCTGCTATAAATTTCCACACAATAAGCCACTTCATTGAGATATAATTTGTGATAGCCAGGTCGCTTCTGAAAAAGAGCTACATAGCTCAGTGGGTCTTCCCTGGTAAAATAAAAAAAATAAAAACAGTTTAGTTTTACAGAGTCAACCGTGCTAATTGAAGGTGTGGGGAAAGCACAACAAAAGGAGAAATATTCTACGATAGAATAGTGTGACTGGCAGTCTGGGAGGACCGTGTATTGCTGACACAGCAGAGTGTTTTAAAATAGTTTAAATAGTGTCCCTACCTACATCGCCTGAGTAGGCCGCTCGCACAGATCCGGCGAACAGAACATAACGAGCTGGAAACAGCCATTATTGTTATTGCTCCACCAACGGAATTTGTGAAATGACATGTATGTTCCGATAATCATCACCCGGCTTATGGATTGACAAACAGGACGGTTCGTTTTAATTACATGGAAAGTTCTGGCTAACATCGGCATTCGAAAGCAGTATAAAAATGTGAGGTAATTTTCCATTAACCGTTTTACTAATCATCGTGGCCTTGCTCCAAACCCATTCTGGCTGGTTATGTAAGAAATGTGTAGCCGGTGGTTTATCAATTACTTGCAAGAGTGGTTTTAACTCCATGCAAGTAGCTGAAACGTATGGAATAATTGCAACCTCGTTGTGCACCCCATTTAAACATCATGGGCTAAACCACGTGAACAACATAGAGGTGGTGCACATGAATGTAGAGGCATGTATAACCACAAAAGTGGCCAAAAAACTTGGTCGACTGGTACGTATGTACGTTGAACTACTTTCGCACTTTACGTAGCCAACCGTGCTAATCAGTCATCACTTTTAAAGTCATTCACCCAAAGCAAGTGGCTGTTAGTCTCTCAGGATGATCAGTTGCCAGCTGTATACATTAAATTGCAATGTAAAATATGGCATTCAATTGGTGCAGCGGAACTTATAAACCGCGCGATAAACTTGACGACTTTGTAAACGTTCGCTCGGCTTTGCGTTCGGCCCTCAAACAGATCGCTCTGAAGTGCGCCGACATCTGCAACCCGTGCCGCGTGTGGGACACCAGCAAGCGGTGGAGTGAGAAGGTGTGCGAGGAGTTCTTCAAGCAAGGTGGGGTGGCGCGCACACCACGCAACGGCACACGTGGCACCACGGGGCACCACACGGGGCAGCACAAGCGGCACACGCAGCACACTCGCACAGGCGGTACACGTTTCACACTAGCACATGCAGCAGCACACGCAGCACAAAGCCTCCGTCCCGCATGGATGGGGTGTGGGCACACGGGACGTGTACGAAGGCTTCATCACGAGCACGGGGCGTTAGCATGATCACATGTGATCCTAGCCCTTGTGGGCTGCTGCATGGTGTGTCCAAGCACGAAGTGGGTGCCCCGGGCTTCTTAAACTTAAAAAAGATTGTTTCCTTTACCAGTTAAGGCCCACTGAGCTATAGAGCTCTTTTTCAGAAGCAACTTGGCCACAAACGATAGCTCATAGAAGCGGCTTGTCGCGTGGACATTTATAGCAGCCAAATACTCGAAAAGCATGTTGATTCTAAATGTGGAGGGAAAAAACCGGGGGACCCGAAGAATAATCCACGACCACAGGGAAAAGAGACATACAAACTCCAAATCTACAGATGTCAGAGTCAGGATCGAACCCACTACCTCGTGCATACCAGGCGGGGAAGTTAACATATCGCCACCGCGGCCTGCAGTATTTTTAACTTGAGCCTGTGGCAAAGTTGATGCCGTCGCCTCGGTCATCCGCGTGGATGGCTGTGAATGTGAATGAACACGATAAAGAGTTGGGGGACCACAAACATTTTGTTTACAGAGTGGCACATTTTTACAACAGCAAGGGACTCTCAGGTATCGTTCAACTGAAAGTCTCCACCATCGCGATGACCTAGCATTAATGGCGAAAATATTGATTAGTATCGATCATTAAGTTCGCATGTATGTATGTTGAACTTCGTTCGCACCGTACGTAACCAACCGTGCTAATCGGAGGTGCGAGAGTGTGCGTAAAATGCCACAATTGTGCACAAGATTCAGTTAAAAGGATTTCATGCAGATTTTGTACTTACTCTAACGAACAAACCTTTACAAACAAGCCGGTAACAGGAGAATACAAACAGAACGGTCAAAACGTGACAAAAACAGATCTGCATTGTGACTACAAACTAAATCTGCCAGATTCTGGGTGTGACTGTGAACAATCGCGAACTCTACGAGCGTTGAACGCGGGGCTTACGGGACTGACCCGCGGCGGTTGAACCATTCCGCGTGCAACCAACCGTGCACTAACTCGAGCCCCCCCCCCCCGGGTTGCGTTGTCGCTTCTTGCCCGGCCACGTGTGGTGTGTGCGCAGGCGACATGGAGCGCAAGTGGAGGCTGGAAATCAGCCCTTTGTGTGACCGCTACACACAGACTGTGCCCAACATTCAGATCGGTGAGTAGATTTTTGTTTTAGTGCGCGTGCTAGTCGCTGCTTTAGGGCCACTTCTAGCGGTGATGTGATGGGGGGGAGAATCTTCCCATGGTAACTGTGGGCACAAAACATGCCCTGCTTGTCGCCTGAACATGCCAGGGTGTAAATAGACCTCGCTCCGATAAGACAAGGATAATGACGCAAAGAAGGGTCGGAGATCGTGTTAATAATAATCAGAGCTGTGAAGAAATGCAACAATCATGGGGGTTTTTTGTGACTATAATAACATATATAAAGAAAAGAAACCTTAAACAATTTTTTTACATTACCATGTAAGGCCCACCGAGCTATGTAGCTATTTTGTAGAAGCGACATGGCGTATCACAAAGGAAAGCTCAATGGAGTGGCATATCACGTGGACATTTATAGCAGCCAAATACTCTGAATGCGTGATGTTGATTCTAAATTTGGAGGGGAAAAACTGGAGGACCACGCAATCACATGGAGAGAGAGAAAATGCAAACTCCAAATATACAGGTGTGAGGGTTAGGATATATATTCAGTCATGTATAGCTTAATAGTACAGCATCCACCAGGGTTCATGCTGATAGCCATCCAAGTGAATTAATTTTATTCCTTGTTGTGTATACACTGGGTAGCTTCGTGCAGTTGTTGATACGTCTACAAATGCCACCGAAATTGTGAAATGCACAAAGTCTGTCCCGCAAAACCTGAAGCAACTTGGAGGATCCTTGGGCCCTGTGCACGATCGCGGATGGGGAAAACTCCTCAAACCCCGAGGCGTGTGTGCGACGCGTAAGCCACTGGAGCGTCGGGGATCTGACGTGTGCGGTTGGCGTGTGCGCGCAGGCTTCATGACGTTCGTGGTGGAGCCGCTGTTCATGGAGTGGGCGCGCTTCATGGGCTTCACGCACCTCTCCCGCACCATGCTGGGCCACCTGGGACTAAACAAGGCCAGCTGGCGCGGCCTGCAGAACGAGCTGGAGGCCGGCAGCGCCAAGGCGGACGCCGCCTCCGCCGATACCGCGGACGACTCGCCCGAGGACGGAGAGGGCCCCGAGCTGGGGCCCACGTCCTCCTCCTCCCCGCAATAGCGGCGCTTCGACCTCCAGCGGCGGCCGGAGGTTTCTCGGGAGCGGTGCCAAGATTGCGCGGACCTTAGTACCGTCGGTTTTGTTCGCACGTCGATGTGGTGGTGCCGAGATGGCTGGCTGTGCGTCACGTAAGCCAAGGCCTTTATTTGCATCACGAGAGCTCCCCAGCAGGAGCACGGAGCCACGTATTGAGCACGCCCACCTGCTTTCACTCCGCCACCGACGCCAACGTCGCCACCGGCCCTTACGACACCACCACCACCACCACGGTGTGTGGCTGTGGATTGCCGAGCGGGGCAGACCGATGAAAGTGAGGACTGTATACGGTGGACTTGTGAAAATGATTGAATCTCAGAGGGATTTGTATGAACCCTTAACGTGAGGACCATGATGCCAAACTTTCAAAAAGAACGTGAGGAGGGACAACCAGCTGGCCAGTGATGCGCCCCCCCCCCCCATCCTCAACTCTCTATCAAGACAGAGCGGCCTGCACCCCGATTAAAAAAAACAAGTGGCCTTCTCGAGGGCCCCAATAGATTGTGACTGATGAAGATGAAGGGAAAAAATTAATTCGTCAATACTGAATAGAATGCGCTTCCAATTGCAGGATTCACCAGCGTTAGCAGACCGCCCCTGCCCGTGTGCAGTTATTGACGACACGGAGAAGTGAAAGTCTTCAAAACCTGTTTTTCTTCACGCAACGTCGAGGCATTAGTTCGACCAAGGGGCACGGGGGCACGTGGACACGGAACGTAGAGTGTTGGAAACGGAGAGGCCACTTGGAAATCTCGAAATGAAGTCTGGTCACCCTCTCAATGTCACTCGTCAGAATCGCATCCAAAACCCCCTGGCCGTTTTAAGAACACAATGGCCTCCACGCAATCTATCGATCCCAGCTTCGTTTCATGTCGCTGCCATAGTCTAACCCAACAGCCGCCGAGGCTAGGCTGACAGCTGCTCCGGTGAAATTTCTATGGAGATTTTAAAAAAGTAATAGCATTTTACAACAATTCCTAAATCCCTTTCTTGAAACCCCTGAAGTTCATTACCCCCTTTTTCTGACTTCACCAGCCCCAGGCCTTTAACTCGTGCACCGGCTGCACTGCTGTGCCCACACACTCGACACCAGCGAATGGGGCCCGCCGTTCTCGCGCGAGCGAGCGACGCTTGCCGACGCTCGCGCGCGGTCCGAGCACGGGGGTGTAGAGGGACCGCGCGAGCCCTCTCTCTCTCTCTAGGGTCCTAGAAGCACCGTCAGCGGGGTTGACACAGGCGCGCTTAGAGCTTTGAAGGGCATGCACGCACGCTGGGCTTTTGCTTTTCTACCATTGTTAAAAAACAAAACTCCTAAAGTTAAGTTTGCGCGTGCGCAGTCGGGGCCCTCGCAGCCCACGGCGAGCAGGTCACGGGGGCAGTCGCAAGGGGAAAACGCCTCGACGGCCTTTTAAAATTCGGTTTTCTCCCTTGGGTAGCCTGCGAAAGGCCGAGTGAACATGAAAACAATGAGGGCTCGGAGGATGATCAGAGTTCCCCATCCTGTTGGTTGGCCGATAAATGCCAAGGTGTGCTCACTGATGGCTGCGAGGTGTCGCGTGTCCTTTTTTTTATCGATTGACCCGGACCGACATCCTTCGTGCAACCAAGCAGGGGTAACTCGGCGGTGTTTGCCGAGAATATTTTTTCTTCTGATTGGGTTTTTATTTCTTTTTTTTATTTCTTCCCACACCATGCGGCGCACGTTCCTCCTGCGCTTCACGTTCTCGTGTTGCCCCCCCCCCCTCCCACCGTCACTTGCGAAAATCTCGAGACTTGCGGTGGTTGAAATGGGTGCAAGGGCGCGTTCACAAACTTGCGCATGGGCGGGAGCCATCATCGTGAAACATCCATCGGGTCGAGGAAGGAGGCGCGGCCTTTGCACGCTTTCACAAACCAGCACAGAATGGCACGCGTCGTTTTTAACCATTTACCGTGCCCGCCGTGGAGATGGGGTATGCGGTAAACCAAAGTACTCGCCGTGCACTCACGGGAATCGGTGGGGGTGGCGTGTGGCCGAACGACTGGTCAAGGCTGCAGTTGAATGCGAGCGGGTCAAGTCTCCGAGGTGGTCAAAGTTCCAGGTTTAGATTTTAGAGCGATGAACGCTGGTGGCGGAACAGCAGCCAAGTCTTATACATGCACAAGGCCAAAACGATGAGTTTGCGCATTCACGGAAACACGTTAAAACAATCCGTCGAGATATTTTTGCTATGTTCAATAAGTATATTGTGTCGTTAATGGAGTGACGGGTGGGCTCGTTGGGGAGTTCGTGGCCAATTGTTGTTTACCTATGGAAATAAGAAAAAAGGGATGGCATGCATTTGCTCTGTGTGCGCGTGTGTTTGCGTACGAGCTCGTGCTATTCTACACACATGCGCGCAATGCAAGTGCACGTTCACGCACGGGCGTGCGTGCGCGCGTTGCGTGATGTAATTATAGGGGGGGGGGGAGCGGGCGGGGGGGTAACACCTTTTCAAGAAAAGTGAAGACTTGAATTCAAACTGTCGAAGCAAACAGTACCTCAAGCAAAACTCAGCTTGCAAGACTGTTAGAGGTTTTCCCTGTATGCTTGCTGTTTGATTAACGATGGAAATAGCAAGTTAATCGCATTTATATAACAACAAAACTCAAGGCTTTGCCAAGTCCCCGTCAGTTCCCTGTCCAGCTAAGTTTGATTTACTTTTAACAATTTGTGATGCGTTTCCTTTCTGCAAAATTGGCCTGTCGTGGAGTGAAGCCGGGGGAGGGGGGGTGGGGACTGGGGAAACTTTTGGGCGTATGATGTGTGTACATATATAAAATGCGAACAGTATGCATTCTCAGGTATATTACAGGGTTGTGTCAAGTTTTTATATCCGATTGTCGACGTTCGGGAGGCCATAGAAGTTGTTCTTGCTTCACACACACACACACGCGCCTGTGCCCACTCGACAGAAGTCAACGGCGATGCCTATGCCATGTCGCGGGGCCTCACGTTAACATCGATTATTTCCCCCCCCTAACCCCCCTCCGATGCAGAGTTGACACTGAATCTCGCAGACTCCTCATTCTCTCCTTATACAATTATCCGAAGTCTTGAGACGCTGTTTTGTGAGTGGAAGAGTCGGTGGGGGTTCTGTGCTCACAGCTGTTTAATGGCACACGCACGAAAAACCGATGGACGTGCGCTCACGCAAGCCCACACTGCCGCAGATATTTTCGTTGGAAATTATTTCTATATTATTATTAGTCTATTGCATTTTTGTCCCCATTTTCGTTTTCATTGGCATAATATAAAGTAATGTCTAACTGGCCGCACTCTTATCATTTGCAATATTTCCACCTGTAACCTGTTAATAAACAATATAAAAAAACACAATTCAAGGAGGGAAGATATTATTACACAGGCAGTGTTAAGCAAAACTTTTCCAGTTTGAAGCTCTCTTAAAGTGCAAAAACACAGCCCCTGCAAACCGGCGTAGATCGATTCCAGCTTGCAGGGAAATCCCAGCGGGTGTCTGCACAGCTACCGTCATAGCGGGAGGTGCCCGCCACGGGAAGTGTAGCTCTCTCACACGTGCGAGTGTACTCCGCAACTGGGACGTGTTATTTGTGCAGTAGGGCCGCCCTCTCCTCGATCGCGTTTCGACCGTTCCGAACTGAACTCGCTCGGTCGGCCACTCATCCACGTGTGTCTGCTCCAGCGCGTGCGATGCATTGAGAGAGAAGCCAACGTGGCCGTCAAACCCCCAACCCCAGCCCGATTGAGCCGCTTAAACAGAACATTGGAGTTGAATCAGGAACGCCGACTTGCGTGAAAGTCGTCCGCAGAAACCTGGAGGAGTGAGGGCCGCCACATTACACTCCTGAACGGAGCCGTGTACGCATCGCTCCAGCGCAGCGCGCGCACACCTCGTTTCTGGCTTGAGGGCACTCGGTGAGACGGTGACATCGCACAGCGTGACCAAACTCAAACTCACACCATCAAAAGCAAACTTTTTTTTGTTACTTGTAAAATGTTATCCGATACATTTTGCTGTAAGGAATCCAACTGGCTGGGAACATTTGAGAGGGGGGGGGGGCGGCGGGGTGGGGGTTGGTGCCCACACCTCTGTAATAATCCGCAATAGCTTCAGAGAGAACAGAAGGCGGAGTTGGCAAGTAGATCGCAAACCGCTTCGGAGTTGATCGAGAACGAGAGTGCAGTGGCGTGCGTATTGACGAGGGGCGATCTGCAAGCTGAACGATGCCGCTTTTAGAACCGTTTAAAACGCTCACGACAAACGACTCTGCTGACAAGAACCAGCTGCATAAGCCGAGGTGTTTTTTGCAGTTTGCACTGTAATTTAATTTGGTTTTATAGCCTTTCTGTGTTTCATAACATGCTCTTACCTCATCTCTCTAGCTGCCATAATGGTTACCGACCATGCCTGAGGAACTTGTGTGTGGCCCAAGAGGATTTTATTTCAAATTGTGAACTGATATGGCTGAACAACAACAAACAATAAAAAAAATTGGTAGTATATAACACTGATTATTAAAAAATATATAATGGGGGGTGGGGGGGGGGGTACGGGTGGCGGGGCGTTCTAAAAAGCTTTGGTAAACTAAGCAGTGTCGCGTGCGATCATTGTGCTGGAATGAGACGGGAATGGGCAGGAGCGAACCGGGGCCCCGGGTTTATTTATTAATTTCCGCCTTCACAAACGCAGTGTTGCGACCGGGAGGGGTGGGATGAATGGGATGCTTCGCGCGCGCGTGTGTTTCAGACCCCTCTCGCTTGTTTACAATCGGCTTCATCGCGACGCGCTGGGCTTGTTTGTAAAAGGAACACACAAACAAAACAAAAGTGTGCACTCGGAATGATGATAATTATAAAAAAAACATCGGGGAAAAAAAAACTTTCAGTACTGACACAATCCGGTTAAATTCTGTTCGCGCGACCCCCTTTTCAAAAGTTGAATGTGTGTGTGTGTAAATAAGCGTGTGGATATGTATGTATACGTGTTATGCATACATATGGCGTCAGTGTAAGACTTTAGATAGCAGAGTCACAATGGCCACTGTAGCCTCATTTTCAGAATCTAAATGTCCACGTGTTACTGCTGCACTGAAGCGACTGTTGGAATGCTGTACTTTTGTTACGTCTGTCAATTGGCATGTTTATCGATGCATTTTTTTCATGTTAATGTATAATGTAAAGTTCTTTATTGTTGAGATACATTTATTTATCAGTCTTTTTATGCTTAACCTTAGGAGAGACGGGAGAGTACACATTAGTGCTGAGAGTTGTACATTAAAATGAAGCATTTTGTATTGCCTTTTTGAAGCCTTGGGCAAATATGTTTGTGATGAGTAATGCGTTGTTTTTAATTGTTAACATTAAGCTTCATTGTCACATTTTTTTTAGTTCCTCTTCATTGAGCCTGGGATCCTTTACGTTGACGTAATGGTACGGAGTCCATGCAGTCATCTTCCCCCCAAACGGAACATCAGAAGTGAACGTGTGACTGCCAATGTTTGGGATTGCATCACGGCGTTGTCTCGGCCGTTCCCGTAGACATCCGCAGATGCGCGTCACCATTTTTGTAAATATAATTCGAGTAGTCTACAGGGAAGCAACACAACAAATGTGTGTGCGTGTATGTGTGTTGAACTTCTTTCGCACCGAACGTAGCCTACCGCGCTAATCGGAGGTGCAGGGGAAGGACAACAAACTAAACACCAAAAAGCAGTTCTAAAGAAATTATTTTTCAATCTGGATGATTTTAAAAGTGCATACCTCCGGTGGCACGATGCCGTGTGCCCGTCTCTGTTGCGATGGCTCGGCAAAATCTGCTGCTGCGAAGGCGACGATCGGAGTTCGCGCGTGATGGTTTACGCACCTAGACGAGACGCTGTGAAACGTTCAGGACTTGGCCTCGGGGGGGGGGGGGGGGGGGGGCGGGTGAATTGTGTCGGGAGAAGCTCTTTTCCTTTTTAAAAGTTGTGCCTAACACCACCAGCAGGTCGGTCCACAATTTTGTTAAATCGACACACATTTTTCTCTCGGTGCCCAAGTGCGGAACGCCGCATCGCACGGTCTCCGTGGCGCGCCGATGGGGCGCGGGGACACGCGTGGTGTGATCTCAGTGGAACTCCGCAGGCCCAAGTCGTGAGATTTGTGACGCGCGTAATAATGCCTAGGGTAAAAAAAAACTAAAAAACTCACGTGTGTCCGTCTTTCGCAGCGCCACGCATTTGGAAAACATAGCAGGGCCGTGGCGAAAGTGTCGCAACGATTACAACCATCGGCGTAATATACCATTGCCTTAAACCTATGCACATGGCTGAGTTGAACACGTTTCCTAACGTGCACGGCGATATCTGGTCACAGTTAAGACCGTGGTCGTTGGGGGTTGCCATTCAGCTCGGCTTGACTGTAAGGAATGGGGTTACATTTTGGGAACGTAAAACACTTCGCGAACATTCCATTTTGTATTTTGATTTTCCTTTTTTTTCTCCCTTAGTTTTTTTATGTAATGTTAGGTTTAGTTATTTTAATTGCAGTTTATAATACCATAATGGCCATTTAGTTATGTGGATGTTTTTCATTCTTACGCGGTATGTAACACGTTAACTGTTGACAGCACAAGGTGCTTTTTGTGTTTTCCTTGGTTTTTACATTGAAAAATAAATAAACAATTGAAATCCTTAAAATGTGCCCACACATTTCACTCTGTTGTTTTGTTAAAAAAAAAACGCACACGACAAAGGAGGGAGGCCTGGTACCGAACTGCTATCGGCCTCCCACATTCGTACGAGGTGAGCCGGGCCACTCCTCGCGGTTCTGGGGTCATTCAGGATTGGGGTGTACCCCCTGAGATGTGGGTTGCTCTTTACAAAACTCCATTCTTTCCATAAAGAGCACAATTAGGCCATCTCATGCATGTACGTATGTATGTTGAACTTCTTTCGCACCATACGTAGCCATCCGTGCTTATTGGAGGCGTGGGGGAAGGACAACAAACTAAACGCAAAAACTTATATTGAAATGAGTTTCAGTCTAGATGATTTAAAAGTGCGTAACTCCAATGGCTTCCTAATATCGAAAGGAAGAGCGTTCCAGACGGCCGCAGAAGCGCATCTGAAAGCACCACGTGATGCAGGTGACAGATTGTGAGAAAATAAAATTGTGCTAAAAAATATATAAAAACAAATAGGATATAATATTAATATATGCCCTTTACCCTAACAAGTTTCAGATTACGTAAAATGCATTTCCATGTTTACCTTCTACACGGCTGTGTCAATTATGGGATTTGAATAACTATAATCTATCTGCAATTTTGGTCAAATTTGGGATGTGAATGGGGCATGGTATTGTTACAATTTTTTTGCATATTTTGCCACTCGATGACAGACGCATCACATGATCAAAGATGGCAGCACCCTTACACAACTGCACATTCGACGAGTGGCAAGCAGTTGTGTTATTTACTCCGATGGTGTAGAGCCAAGTGGAATCCATTGAAGACGAAAGTTGTAATATGGTGGAAACAATAGATTGCGGAAACATTCACAAACAAGAACATCAGGATGTGAACATGTTTATGATAGCAAAGCGGTAGACCAGGTGATCGATCAGCTACAGTCAATTTCACACGTGTGATTCTGGAGGGATCCCGACTTAAGAAAGGAAAAGTGGTGTTTCGGCACAATAACACAGCCAAAACATGCACATGCAATGACAGAATTGGGGAGAGCTTTGATGGAATATTCTGAAACATCTAGCATACAGCCTAGACCTATCCCCTTCGGACATCCATTTGTTTCGACCTCTGATGAAGAAGGCAGGACTCAAGAAAGGATGTTGCGAAAGCGGCGACACGTTTATGGCTTTGGAGACCTACCTATAGACATCTGAGCTGCTGGAACGACGAGGAAGAGGCCACTCGGACAAGTGCGTTTGAGAAGAGCGTGACTCGAGAAATGATAACACTGGTCAACACACTTTTTCTGGCATAAGGTATTCCAACGGTTTTAAGGTAATTTTGGGGTGCTGATTCCAAATATGGCATCAGTTTTTGTCTATCACATCAGGTTTTTGAGATATCAAATATTGCATTTTCAATAAAAACTGCAGAAGAAAAATATTAAATAAATGTGGATATCTACATACAATGATATTATAAACACACTATCCTAAAAATACAGCACCATATTTTAACACGAAAGCAGTCACTGACTCGCAACAACTTGCAATCATAAGTGACGGAGTTAATTTCGGGTAAAATCAATGAAAATGGGGTATGCCGATACCATAAAAATGATGTGAAAGAGCAAATCTGAGATCAGATTTGGAATCAGCACCCTGAAACTAGTCTAAAACAGCTGCAAAAGTCCAGGCCAGAAAAAAATGTTTTTTTGTTTGTTGACCAGTGTTATCAAACATCCCTCGCACATGTCATATCGATGGGGCAATGGCTAGAATGTACACGCGTGTGTATATATTATCGGACGTTATTTTTAGGAACCCATTACGAACACTCGCAGAGTAGTGCATCGCCACGTATTCGTGAACGGTCCATTGAATCGGGTATCAGAACTACTTCAGAGATTTCAAGTGATTGTTTATCCACACCAGGGGGGGGGGGAGGTGGAGGGGGGTTGGGGGACAGCCCTTTCACATAGATCCTGATACAGAGTAATGTTTGCCGCTTAAAATGAAAACTGCAATTTTTTGTTTCTTTGAGATGGAATTTAGCCTAGTGAAGTGCAAATACAACTTTAATATAATGGTCTTTGGTGACCAGCCTGAGACCATCAGCTCCCTTGTGAGCCCGGTTTATCCAAACAGAATCTCAGGAGTGCCAACTCCGCACTGACCTCTGACCTCTGAGCCACCTGGACAGCTCCGAGACCTACATTATTATATTTTGGGTGAACTGCAAATTACTCAGCTTCGAATTATGTAGCAGAAACATTTTAACCATAGCTATTTGTTTATTATCCCAGACTGACTGGAGTTTTAAATTTCAATGTTTAAACAAAAACGACATTTTAAAATGGAAAAGCTATTTATAAACTGATTTAGTTTGGTTCAAGTTTTTCAGTGCAATGTCACTAAAGGTGTTAACAAAAATGGTTAAATAAATCCCCTGTTTAAGTGATGAAGATGCGTTTGTCGTTCGTGTGCACGCCTTTTGTTCATGTGTCGCTAAACCTGCCACCAGCCGACGCAGCCAACTAGTAAGGTTTGTCACCTGTACAGCACGCCGGTGTGTTGGAAAGCAAACCACAAAATTTACAATTCGAGTATTAGTGGTTAATTTTATGCAAATACTGCAGTATGAATGTTTTAGGAGACGTAATTTTGATCTGAGGGAAACTTTTTTTTTATTTTAGTTTATCCTTTAAACATGTTTCTGCACCGTTATTTTTAGAGTCAACATTTCTCTGGTTGTATAAGCCAAGAGACATTTAACCCGTCCAAAACTCCCAATGCATCTGTGCCACAATTTACTGTTGCACGTTTTTAAGGCCTAATGGACATCAGGCTTCGCAGAAGAATCGGACATTTGTTTGCATCACTAACAGCAGCCTTGGTTTTATTATCCCGATATTTAGTTAACTGTTACCCAGAGTAACTGCCAACGTTAGAACAACATTGCCACACGCATTTTTTTAAGTCACATAAGTTGTGGTTGCCGGCCACACAAAAGGGCGAAATGGTGTGCTAAACAGATCCTCCGTGGAACGTCGGATGGCCCAAAAAAATGCAACCCTTGGAATTCTTAGCTCAAAGCAAACCGAGGCATCTTGCCAATTCGCACGCCTGTGGTACATCAAACAACATGAGTTCAATACGTGCACCAGTTTGTTTCAGTGCGTGAAGATGGCGGCGCGTATACATGCAGCGGCTCCTCTCTCTCCCATCAGATCGGTGTTTTTATGTTTTTTGGTGTTTTTATGTTTTTTGTGTTATCCATCTACGTGCATTTGTTCGTCATCAAATATCTTATTTCTTTAAATACTTTATTTAAATAATATTTTACATTTTAAAAATGCTTGACTGTTGTTTATTTTAAGTTTATTACATTTTTGATTATTTATCTTGTGTTGATCGCCGATTGTTTATTGTTTATTTATGTCTGTTAATTGTGATACATTTTTTAATTGCTTGGTTGCACCGTGGGACCAAGAGAGAGGACTGTATTTCATCTGTGTTGTATGTCATGCATGTAACACACTTGACAATAAAGTGACTTTAAGAACTTTTTTTTTGCGCCAGGGAAAGTTGAGAGAGGGGAAATTAGCCCACGTTCATCTTTCTCGAGAATCAAAATAACGTCTCATTTTTTCGGTGAAATGTCACGCCACAGAACAGGCGTGAATGCCACGTTGTTGTGTTGGCTTCCCAGCAAGGCAACCGTTTTAAACTCTCTCACCAAATTACCTCCATCTGAGTGTCTGCTCAACGTTAGTGGCCGTTCACGTGCGCGTCTCCGTAACGCAACAACAGCCTTGCCACAGGTGATGGTGGCGGCGGAGGGGGTTGGCCTCGTTTCGCTTGAGGCTGCGGTTGCCGCGTCGAGAGCAGTCTCTGGAGTAACCCTCTAGAGCTGGCAGGACAGAAGAACGGTCAAAGTGCTTTCCAGTGGCCACTCAGCGTCACCAGCGAGCCACAAGACGCAGGAACATCATTAACCGTTGCTCGCAGTGAATTGGATACAAATGTGTCTGTGGTTATACAGAGGATGCCGTGGTGGCGAGATGTTAACTACCTCGCCTGGTTTGCAGGAGGTCGTGAGTTCGATCCTGACCCTGACGCCTGCTGTATAAGTGGAATTTGCAATGTGCTCCCCTTGGTTGTGTTCGTTTTTGTTTCTCCAGGTCTTCCCGTGTTTCCCTCCACTTTTAGAATCAACATCACTCGTTCAGAGCATTTGCCTGCAATAAATTCCCACATGATGATAAGACACTTCGTTGAGTTATCATTTGTGGCCAGGTCGCTTCTGCAAAAAAGAGAAACCCAGCGGAATGCTCACGCAGCACAAGCAATGAGCGAAACGTACAAACTCTACACGCAGAGATGCGCGCTCCAGTTGGGGGATCGAACCCAGGTCCTTCTCGGCGCGAGACACGAAGCGTTCGGTAGCTACCACTTGCCCTCCACACAGCCGCGTGACTTTAACCAGCTCGACTAAGTAACGAACACGCTGGCACGTGACAGTGTCGTGGGACGCATTTGAGGATTTTTGCTTTCCATGACCGTATCACCTCCCCCTACTATTATGAAAAGCCAAACTCTGTGCATTGCGAGTCTGCGTGCCATTCGCCAGCGCCATATCGCTGGCTAATGGGAAAGGCACATTGTATCGACCTTGTGTGAAGTTAACGGGCATTGATATGTATTTGTGTTAGTATATCACGTCGGCTTTCACGACTAATATTATCCATTATATCGGTCTTTTTTTGGTTAGATCGTGTACATATATAAAACCCGCCACCACCCGACACAGCCAACTAGTAAGGGTTGTCACGTAAACAGAACGTGGCCAATTCGTCACTAGTACAGTACACCGGTGTGTTGGAAAGCCAAGCCACAACATTTACAATCTGAGTTCGACGTTTTGCCAGTAATTACAACCAGCTTCATCAGGCGACAGCCAGATTTGTGGAGAAGTCCACCTGTTTCGTTCCTTATAAGAGGCG